CGGGCATGCGAGCCTTCTGCTTGTGCTCTCCGTAAGTCGTCCGTCGGTGTCGTGCCAAACAAGTTGTTGACCAGCCTGGTCGTATCTGTGTTGCGGATCGAAGGGCGAGGGGGAGTGATAAGATTGGCCTGCTCTTGGGTATGAACCCTAGAGTTTATAAGCCGATCCAAGTCTTCTCTGTAAGCTATCTGCTCAGCACGGAGGGACTCAAAGCGAGCATCCATCCCCTGTTGCAACTGTGCTGCAACCGACCTGATGACCGTGGCCATGTCGATGGAAGGTGGCTGTGGCAGGCTGGTCGTGTTTGTGCCACCCGTCTGACCGACCTGGTATGTTCCCCCGGTGTTCTGTGCGGTAGTTGTGTTGTGTTCCTGATCGGTCTGGTGGGCCACCGGAAGCCCTGTGGCTGGGTTGATGATCGGATCCTGAATGTTTCTTGTCGGATCGGAGGCTCCTCCTGTGAGGTCGGTAGTGTTGATCGGTGTTTTAACCATCTTCCAACTCCGTTCTAAGTCAAAGATTACTCTTTTATTCCCCACAAACAGCGCCAACTGTAAAAACTCAAGTTCGATCTACGAAAGAACTAGGGTTTGTGGGTTTAAAGAGAAGTCTTTTATTAGAAGAAGCCGGAGCTTGAATGAATACACGGGGGTTTAGTTCGTCGGAATAAGAACGCCGACCTAAACTCTTATGGAAAGTAAATCGAAAGCTAGAACAATCAGATTGCTTAGTTTGCCCTAGGTCTCGATAGATGATTTTTGGATGGATTTCAGGAGTCGAGGACTTGCTATATTTATAGCTTGGTCAGGTCGGCTTTCAACCTGTTAAGAATAGGAAATCCTTCTTGCCGACAAGAAGGAGTTTCTCCTTTTTCCCCCAGGTCGTTCGATAAATGGGAGATTTCCTTTTATATCACCGACCTGAAATTTGTTAGACGGGCCGACTAGAATTCATATCGGACTTGTTAGAGATGGTACGAATCTCATCTCTAACAGTTGATGACTTTTCTGGCTGGAATTTCTGAAGGAGAGCAGCTCTATTTATACTAGGAGAGAGAGGATACATAAATTAATTTTCGGATTGGACCTGGAACTTTTGTCCACAAACTTTATTCTAGGCTAGGCCAGGATGTTACACGCAGACTTCAACAGCCCGTTGTGCACATCGAATTTCCTTTCCCTCGAGCTTATTATCCAATAGCATAGCATAATCATGATCAAGATACAAAGTTTATTATTCACGAGGAGGCTGTTATATTGTTAAGAGGTGATGTTCATGCTAATTATACTTTGTAGTACAATAAGGGTTTTACGTAAAAAAAAAGAGAAAAGCAAATAAGGACACCACACAATATTGATTCCTCCCACCTTAATTATAGTTTTGCATCGGATTACGTTCAGTGGTGTGAATATATAATTTTAAAAGTGATATAAACATCCAATAAAAGTAAAATATGGCTGTGCTTATTGCTAGAATTTTGTTTGTTTGCTTCTGCATCTGTCTTGATCATAAACCTATTATAATGTTGTTGAATATCATAGTTGGACTGTACCAAAGGGGTACTAGGACGCTCTCATGAAGCAAGGAGAAAACATTATATATGTTTTATTTAACCTTAAAGGAGCAAACTTAACCAAGATCATAACACCCAAACTCTCAAGGGTCAATTGAGCAATCTAGTTATTTCAAGGGTCATGCTAGTTTTGGTAATTTTCAATTTTGATGAGGATCTCAACCCGGTCAAGCTAAAGTATCCATCATGTATGAGCCATCAGAGACCCGGTCAGAAACGAGGACAATGAAAAGAGTTTAATAAGGCTGTGGAAAATCTCCTCAACCTTAAGCAAACACAAGATGTTAACACTCTTCTCAAACTAGTTCTCAAAAATGAAGACATGACAGTACGGTACGAAGACGTGATGGTATGGGACGAAGACATGACGAGATGAGACGATGGCATTACATACCATCCTCCTCGTACCACGGTCGACCGCATCACGTACCACGGACGAAAGCATTGTGGTACGCGTGACCGGAGGGCATGACGATCAAATGGGCCAGCACTTAGTCAAATTTCAAGACGTTCAAAGCCTAGCCAAGCTTAAGATGGATCTTAACATAGATAAGTGGCCCCTTTGCCCAAACCTGTTGATCATCGCCCCAACAAAGTTTACTGCCAATAAACGATATAAACGGTTTTCTCGAGAACATGAAATAGGTCATGGTGTAATCATGCATCGCTACAAACGTAAAGCACCGAGATGGAAGGAGGAACTCTTCTTTTCGGGGAGATTCTCTAAAGTTAAAATTCTGAAGCTCAGAGAGATTAATAACAAACTGGAAGCATAAATTCAAGGGAACGGTAATGGTCAAGGCACGAATAGTATCCGTCGGATACATTTCGACGTTCAACAGAAGAAGTGAGAGTGTCAGAAGAAACGAAAGAGTTTCAAACTTTCTAATCACAGACAATGTATCTCGTTTAGAATTCGACCCGCCTCGTGGGGTTTATTATATTATGCCACATTTCTCCGATATATACAGTATTAGAGATATAAACAATTTCCGTTATCACTGAAAGATTTTTGATTTATTTTCTTTTCTTGTATTTAACATGCAAATGAAGAAATACATATAGAAAAATTACAAGACATATAAGACAATTTCCATTAAGATTTCTGATTTATTTTTCCTTTGTATTTTTCATTTAATTTTTTTAAAAAATACTATAAATGTAGAAAAATTAGAAGTAATATAGACAATTTCCGTTTTATTGATGGAAGATTTCTGATTTTTTGTTTCCTCTTGTATTTTCCATGTAAATAGAAACAATACTAAAAATATAGAAAAAATTATAAAAGTATAAACAATTTCCCATATCGTTAGCGAAAGATTTCTGATTTTCTCTCTCTCTTGTATTTCAATAAGAAATAGAACAATTTACATTTGGTTAACTGAAGATTTCCGATTTCCTCGGAGTTCCTCTTCCATTGTACATTTCCTTAATCTCTTGTTAGATTAAGCCTCATATACGTACGTATATATATGTTTACATCCAAGAACAAAGAGAAGTACCTACACCTTTCTTCTTCTTCTTCTTCTTCTTCTACTTGAAACAAAAAAAAAAAAGTTCAGCAAAGATGATAACAGCCGACCAATTATTAGATAGTGCTATGATCATAACAAAAACACTAACAAAGAATGACCTTACACACAATATTGTATTGCCGAAACAACAAGTTGAATCCGTGATAACGAGGATGGATGAAGCTATGGTCAGCAAGCTGCAAGAAGGTGTAAAAGTGAATGTCGTCGACTTTATAGAAGCCGATGAATACACAGTTACCCTCAAGTGTTTGATCATCGACAATAACCCTAGATACGTTTTCGGGGAAGGTTGGAGTACCATGAAGTGGTCGCTAGATCTAAAAGAAGGCCAACAACTGAAGCTTTATTGGGATGTTGAAGATAAGAAGTTCTTTATTCTCAATTTCTGTTATCAGACAATTCCTCTTATGATTCCCGTGTAGCCGCGCATGCATGTTCCCTTCTTACGTCCTGCTTCCCGGTTTTTTTTACTATTTCATTAGGTTTTAAATTTCTTATTCTTTTTCTACTTTTTAAGTGTTTTTTTTAAAGTTATTTCATTGGAATAATATCTAGTTTTTTTCGTTTTTTTGTTCTAATTTGGTTGGAATATTTTGAATTTCAAGATTACGTACCTCTGAAACCTTAATTCATCACACCATGCATGAGTAATCATGAAAGCACCAATATTGGCGTGAAAGGAAATTAGATGCAACTGGAATAATAATACTATCTTTGATATGAATTTTACCTACTTTTGATTGTTTTTGAAGAATTTGGTTCAGAATATAATATGATCTTAGCCTAAAATATAGTCAACGTTTTATGGAGCGACATCAAACTTTATGTTTTTTTTATTTATTTATTTTTTAACATAAAAGGGGCAAACTTAACCAAGATTATAACACACAAAATCCTTAAAGGGCACATGTTGAATCTTGTAGAAATATTCAACACCAGAGACCAGCTTGTCTTTGAATGCTTTTGTCATGTTTCCAGTATCCACTTCTTGTACATTCTTCAGTCTCAAGAAACAGATGCTTCAGGAAACAAGATGCTTCATGGCACCGTACGTCTTCTACAATCCACTCTTCTAGATTCTCTGAGCCAACACTATGAAGTGAAACCGCCTCACTCAGGATGCAAGCAAGCCTCCTAAACACCCTTTTGATCCCTTTTCCTTTCTTTGATTCTGCCTTTTGGAAATTTAAATGCTTCGAGGACATCCTCTGCATCATAAACGCTTCAGTTCGTCTTGCAGCTGCTTCACCTTGTCACCTATACCGAACAAGAACAAGAACAACGGTTCTTCTAGGAGCAACTCCCCATAACAGAAACACTACCGTCTGCCATTTGCCTGTTCCTGACTCACAACTGTGATTCTCCTAATCTCTACCTCCTCCTACACTATAAGTGTCAAACTCAATCATAACACTCAAATACTCATCCGAAAGGATAGAGAAAACCAGCAGATATACAAAAACGTTCTTACATATTTGAACCTCAGAACTTGCACTTGTTTGTTCCAGCACAAACCGTACAAACAAGTGTTTTTGAAAGCAAAAAAAATGATTATTGCTTTTACGGTTATCTTCTTCTTCTCCAAAATTAGGTTGAGAGCTCTCTGAGCTTCTCGCTGGATCCATATGATGACGTGCATTACAAGAAAGACCGCGTTTTGGAACCTTCCGTTATAAGAGTCAACTCAATCATAACACTCAAATCCTTTCTTATTTCAACTCTGACCAGTACGTGAACATAAATATGATTTCAGCTCAATCATAACACTCAAATACTCATGTGCTAATCGATGAGTATGTACAATATAATATGCCTCTGTACTTTTGTTTTCCTTATCCGAAAGGATAGAGAAAACCAGCAGATATACAAAAACGTTATTTACATATTTGAACCTAAGAAGTATTGTAGAGCTTGCACTTGTTTGTTCCAGCACAAACCGGACATTCGTCTGCATCACCTTCTACATGGCTCAGGCAATGTTGGATTCTGTCGTCCACAACGTCCTGCATAAAGAAATATCAGCAGATTGCTGAAAGTTCAATAGCCAAAAGAGGAACAGGTCTCTTGTTTAAAACATGTTTGATTTCTTACGACGAGGAGGTTATGGAGGCCGAGAGGTGCGGTAATGAGGTATGAGATGCCAGAGAACTCCTTTGCAGCATCAGCCGTCAGCGAAGGGATGTCCTTAATCAAATAAGAGCCATAACTGATAATCCCACCAAATAGGTAACTAAAAGCTTAGAGAAACATAGAAATCGTCAGCACAAGCAAGGCCATATACAAACCTGATGCCAATGTCTTCCAGGAAACAGGAAAAATGGGCTAACAACTACACGTTTCGCCCCTTTTTGTACGCACAAACTGAATGCACTTTTTATAGATGGCTCAGCCAGTTCCTGGCGTAAAGTGAACATCATCATCAGAATATAGAGAAAGAATGTTCAAGTTCTCGATTCAACAAACTTCAAAAAGAAGTAGAAGAAGAGATTGTATCAAACTCATAAGTATATGCAACTCTAGTGGTTGACACAAGTGAATTCAATCAGGTAAACTATCAGAAATGAAGGAATTTACTTGCGGTTCCCACTTTAGTTGAAAATTCTCAGGTCCGTCTTACTAAAGGAACATGAGATGCGAGGAAACTAGTGTCTAATTATAAAACCAAAACTAGTTATTACATCAACTATCCACAATTTCTACATAACATAGGGAAAAGAATTACCATATGAGCAGGCTCCACGATTGGGTATCCAGTCTTGTCTTTGAACATTTTCACAAACTCCTCTGAAACTCACAAACAAACTCTTATGCTTCTGAGTGAGAGAGAGAGAGAGAGTAAACAATCAACAAAGAAGATTAAGAAATAGGAGCACAACTTACCAAGCATTAGATTTGATTCCCGGCGGCGAGAACCGTGATCGACGATGATAATCCCGTCACCATCACCGATCCCATTCCTGAGCAACCCGCCACTCTCAAAGCTCCCCAAACATGGCGATCCTCTTCGTTTAGGTTGAAATTTCTCAACTTTTGAGGAACCTGGGAACGCCCACGACCGATTCGTTCGCGTAATTTCAAAAGAAGAAGAGGAAACACGATTATCCGCTCTGAGATTGCTGCAAAAGGAAAAGAATTGAGGAGAACTGTCAGAAGAAAGGAAAACAAGAGAAGAAAACAATATAAGGGTGTACAGAGGTAAATGATAAAGAACCGTTGGGAAGAGAAGACGTGAGAGAGGTTCATCAAGAACTGAGACTGAGTCGCCGCCATTGTTAGCATCAATCCTCAAGAAAAACGAACTGAAAAAATAAAATAAAAGTTTTTTATAAGTGGGCCGATGCCCAAAATAAGCTGTAGAGTTAATTAGGCCGATGAACAAAAAAATTCAAGCGTTGGAGGTTATATTTGGATTAGAGATTTCAACATAAACAAAAGTTTGAAACTTTCTAACTTGTCATCTAAAGATTACTTAATTCAACATTTGATTTGTTTTTCATCAAGAAAATGGTAAAAAAATTTGGAGCATGATTTTGAGATTGAATTAAGAAGTCCAATAAAAAAATTTAAGAATAATTTTCAGTTATTGATTTCTTGAGAAGTCAAGTGAGTGGCGAAAGATTGACACTTTTTCTACATTTTACTAAAGCCCCTTTAAAAATGAGTTTTGCAAGAATGGAGAGAAGTCAGAGAACCAACTTTTTTTTTTTTTACATACGTAAAGGATAGATTAAAGAAAAGACAGTAAACAAATATATACTTAGAGAAATAATATATTGTGGAGAGCAGAAAGAAAGATATGTGCAGCTAATTTAGACGAGGATCGATCCCTGATATCCTCTCATCCTCCAACAGAGCATATGGATCGATGTACGGTGGTGGTGAAACCGGAGTTCTGCTTCCATCATGAACGAAATCTGCTCCAAAGTACTTGCATTTTCAAGAAAAGAAACTTTATTAACGAAAAAACCCTTAAGAACCAGATTTGTAGCCTTAAGAACTCATCCCATATACATTCCAGACGAGTTCCGGAACAGTTTATATGGTGAGAAGAATGTGGACAACAGTTTCTATGACCATTAGAGTTCTTCAATGCAATGGACAAGAAAAATTTACACTTGTTGATCTTATCAACTTACAAGGTAAAGTGCAGAGAAGGCTCCAAGAGTTAAGACTATCAACGGCCAAAATCCCAAGAAGAAAGTCCCTCCAATTGTCAGCAAGATCTTGGCACGCGGAATCAATCCCTGAACACAACAACGAACACAACAATCAGCCTTTGTAATAATTACATAAGCTGCTAAGAAGAAGTATCCGGTTACCAAAGATGGCAATGAAAAATATAATTTCGTCTGTTTAATCTGACCTCAAGCCCTTCGCTGTTTAAGGCCAACGATCTCTCTCTCTGGTTTAACAAGCTTTGGTCGAAGGCGGGAGTGGTTGCAGTCGTTTTAGAGCTGTTTCCGGTTTCTTTACCGGGTTTGATCTCGTCTACATCCACTTCATAGTCTTGAAGCAATGATGTAGGAGTCATACCTCGTCTCTTCAGTTCTTTCATAAATAAAGACTCTGGAGGTTCATCACCTACAAATCAAAATCTTTACTCAATTTCATCTCAATCGAACAACAGAATCAAGCAATACCAACACAATCCATAGTAGAAACAACACAAGGATATCAATAAAGATCACAAACAATTCTCCACAACCTTGTTCATCAATTGCAGAATCAAAAGCAACTTTAATTAGTCCTTCTAGAGAGATTAGCAAGAGGAGAAGAAGAAGAAGCAAGAAAAAGCTGACCTTTTGACGGATTATCGCCGTTAAGAGCAGATGAATAAACCCTAACACACCTACCAAGACGATGCCAGCTCCTAGAATCGGCTAATCTGAATACCCTTTTTCTAGATTCCAATTTTACTGGAGATTTATGGCGGGAAATCGATACAGGAGAAGAGCACAATTTGACAATCTCCAGAGAAGAAGCCATTTTTTTTTTTTTGGTTTCCTTTTTTGGTTCACTCGAATTCTCTTTGTTTCTTTAGATTTTCCTTCAGTTCCCGGAAAGATTCATGATCCAGACGCCGCCGCAGAATAAAAAGGAGGAGAAGCTTACACAAATTCAGACGGCAAAATTCTATTTGTTTGGATTTTTTCTCGGGAAAATGGGAAAATGTGTCAAATATTCAAGCAAGTGGTGGCGAGACAAGGGTGAAAGTTATCACCTTTAACTCTCAGTGCGTAGTTTAGCACGGACACGGGCGAGTTGTACTAAAATGCGCCTAAACTCTCAAAATGTGTGTGTGGCTGCTAAATTGCCGCAAGGAAGATTGGTATTTTGGTAACGTAACGCGAGACTCCACGTCTCATTTTTCGTCGTTTCTCCGAATTATTTGCTTACATTATTAAATGAAAATAAATAAAAACGAAATCACTCATTTTAGTTAATACCAATGTACTATCACAAGTTGCTTCAATGCTACAGTTCGTCTCGTTTGGGTAGGTTTAATAAAAAAATAATTCCCTTTTAAGATTCCAACAACCCAACAACAAACAAACACAAGTTTAAAATTCGCATTTTGTAACTTTTAAAAAAATGGACTTATTAAGTGGAACAAAATCTTGATACTCAAATATCTTCCGATTAAGTTCTTTATTTGGAAAAAATAAGTGGCTTTATAAATGAATAATGTGTTTATCAAACAGAACATGCATGTTTGCATAAATTTATGTAATTCACAAAAATACTTTTTTGTTTGGTCGTCAAATTCATAAAAAAAAAAATATACCTTAGGAGGTGAGAAATGTATATTTTAGATGCAAAAGTGAGAATGAGAAATGTAAAGAATGTGACATCCCCATTTTTTTATTCAACAACGCTACATCTTATAAAGTTATATAATACATGACTAAGGGGCCTAATGAATTATTTACATGAGGAAGAACATAGTTTATTATCGAATTAATTCCCAAATAAATGCAACTTAGTTGAAAATTACAAAGCCTATTTACATTAAAAAATGTACAAATGACCCACATCTCACCAGAAAGGACACCACCTGAAAATGAATAAGAAAATGAAGATTATGTTCTCCCTGTATGAATCTCGTTCTAGATTCTTCAACTTAATATATCTCACAAACAAAACTTAAGCTACTGAAAAAAAGATGAGCATAAGAGTGTATAAGAACATACCCAACATAGTTTTGACACAGGTTTTCATGGGACGTGGCTTGATTGATTAGCTTTTGAACCTGAACTTTAACAGACAAACCATGTTCGACTTCATGAGAATCTCCTCCAAGCAAGTTATTGTGGTCAGCGATGGGATTGCTTGGAATTGCAGACGGAGAGAAATCACGGCCTGTAAGCTTGTGACTCATACGAGCCATCACAACTACTGCACGCTCGTTTAAAACTTCATTAGCATCTCCAAGCATATTCACAGCCTGAAACAAAACCAAGAAACCAATCAACAACAACAATAACAAAAACGAGTTATATAGCAAGAGAAAGACTTTCAAAAGAAACCTGAAGAATCTCCTTCTCTCGAGTACTCCTTTGAGGCTGAGGAAGGTCTACGTCGGCGGGATCTACATCTTCTTCCTCAGGTTCAATAACAGCAGGACCGTTGGGATTGTTGTTACCGAGCAGGGCTAGTTGAGGGACTTCGTTGAAATTGAAAAGACGCCAGTTGATTAAAGGATCGTGCACAAACGCCTCCATCATCGCCATTACACTGTCTTTGTTGGTTCTGAGAACTTGCATAACGTTTTCGCATGTCGAGCGGAAGTTTCCTTCAATGCCACTTACTTCCATTGCTTTGACAAGCATTCTTGTCAGACGGAACGGGACCTAACATTGTTTAACCAATCAAAGCTCTCTCATTATATTGTTTTTTTTTAAATACTCGCAACAAGTAAATGAAGATAACATCACAGTTAATACCTTTTCAGGAAACTTCTCTCTATTCATAGAAGCCTCAAAACAATCTCCAAAATCTATATGCAAGATTTTACCACTGCAAAATTGTAAACATTGATAAAGAAACAGAACCAAAGTTTGCATATTTTATGTAATGTAAACCAGTTTTTAGTTTTCTGTACCTGTATCTATGAAGCATAAGGTTACTTGGGTGCCGATCACCTAACCCAAGAATATAACCAACCTGACACAAAAGTAATTCGCAAAATATCATTTTAAACACGCGTATATTTTAATTTGATGCTAAACAAGTGGAGAGAACAAAAGGTTGAAAGCAACCACATACCATACTCATAACTGCTAAACTTCTAGTATAGTTGGTTCTTCTCTCCAGCCATACCTCTGACGAGCGACTTTTTAACCAGAGAACCTACCAAGAAGGAGAATTAAAGCAACTTAGTATTCCAGACTAAGTTACTTTACCCAAGAGCAAAGTACTAGAAGATAGAAATTGAGTACCCTGGACAGATCATTTCCCTCTGTGTTCTCTAGAGCATACTCAAATACTTCAATCTTTGCTACAAGCGGTAGATTGTCATAGTCTGGAGCAAAACTCAACATATGTTTGTGTTCTTGATTAAGAATGATCTGAAAAATTTAGAAAGGCCTGTGTAAGAATCAACGTAATCAGCAGATAACTTCAAAAGTGAAAACCTTGATGAATACAAGACAAACCTTTCGCGCATCTCTGTACTCTCGAATAAGATGGTGAAGGGTATCGCAGTTCGGAACCCATCCGATGAGTCCACTATTGGGAGATAGTGGTATCACAGAATACCGTTGAATGGACAGATCTTTTTCTGCTGTTTTTCTGGAATTCTCAAGCAAAGTGTTCACCAAACCAAAAAGCTGAAACACAATATAGAGGAAAGAGGTAAGTGTGATCTTATAGTTAAAAATACTCCAACCCGAAAACCGCACAACTGATTTTGTATTTCTGAGAATCACCTGCATAACACGCTCGTCTTGCCTTAAATCTTCATGTCCCTTTAACAAGAAGGCGTAGTCCTCACCGTCATTTCCGTGAATAGTCAGTTTCCTTGGTCGTTGTTTGGAGGTTATGACAACAAGTTGGCGTGAAAACGATGTTATCGTTACAACGGGGGCATCTAATTTAAAGAAAACCGAAGTAAGGATGTAAGCATGGAAGCCTGGGTTAAAACACACATATCAGCTCAGAAAAACTTTAGCAGTTCAATATGTTACCTGCACGATATGTTCCAGGAACAGCTAGCTCCAAGTCACGGCACAGCAGCAATTCAGGAGAAACAGACTATCCAACATGTAATGGTGTCAGTCAGATTAGAACTTAGGGACAAAAAGAAAGGGAGAACCAAAGAAAAAGAAAATATAATTACTTCCAAATCCAATGTCGTGAGACTGGCCAGTTGTTTGTCGATCCGTTTGAAAACGTGATAGTAAAGATCCCAAGCCTAATGAAGACAAACAATTGAAAATAAAAACATGTCAATTCCTGTCCTTCACTAAGATGATGAGCAAGAACGCAACTAAAATTTTGTTTTCAATTTTCAGTTACCTGTGTAAGTTCTGCATCTTTTCCAGTTCTCTTGTAATTGATACAACATTCATATGCCTCTAGTAGTTCGTGACGGTATGCCTGCATCAACAATACACTAACTTCAGTTCTTGATATTAAAAAATACATCATTACCTTTACTGAAATATATGGGAACAAGCGCTGTACAAAGTAACAGAGTAACAAACACTCTACACAGTAATACTTCGCTTGCCGCAATGCTGTACAGTTCTATGCTAGAGAAAGATGAAATCACAAATAATGCAAAGATACAGTGAAAGGCTCTAATAAGTGTAAGAAAAACAATAATTTCTACCCCAAGTTACAAAACCGGTATTGAAAATGGCCCCACCTCTATAAATGCTCTCTCTTGTATGGTCGTATTGTCCTTTCTTGCACCTTCTTCAAGCATCTCATGTAATGGTTCAAGTACTTTCAGCATTCCTTCAATGTTATGTTCACCAAAATACAAGCGACTAGCTTCTTCTAATGCTTCATGCCACATTTCATGCCAAAGTATAGCAACCCTGATAAGTTCGTGTGATACAAGTTGCGCCTGTTTGTTTTTTGTTATTGTGGGGGGATAAAGGAAGGGGTCACCAATTAGCTCAGTCAAAAGAATGTATTTTCTTAAATAAATCGACAAAGCTAAACACCAGAAGGTAGATATTACCTGATCCACAAGTGCACCGCTGTGTTGACGAACTTTATCAACCACCTCTTGAGCTGCAGCTCTCCGCAGATTGCTTATTGATTTACATGCAACGAGAAGGGGATACATAAGTGCCTGCGAACATTTGAAAAATAGTCAAGGAGAAATTATGCATTTCATAATTAGTATGACACTCAATTAATGGTAAAGAGATCAAACTGTCTATGGTACCGACCAACAGGAAGCAGGCAAATTTGCAATCAAAATGGTAGAGCAAAGATTATTTCTATATCTTAATTTCCCATCATAAGTTCGTAATACCAATGAAGATTTTTAGAGTTTAGATTAATGGAAAACTGCAAACCTGTGGGTGATTTTCTCCTATGCGGATGAGAAGAGACTGTATCAGTTCCCTGACAGCACGATTATTTGAATGTATCCTAGCAATTATTTGAGGCAACACAACAAGCCATGTGTTAATGTTGACATGACTGAATCCTCCCTTCAATGCTGCTTGGACATCAGCCGTAGCTCCATGGTTGAACCACAATGTCAAAAGACGCAGTATGTCCTAAGGAAATGAGACAGAAGGGAAAAATAATTCAACAAGAGCAACTTGGAATTCAATGCAAACAAAGTAAAGAAATAAAAAGTCTCCTATGCAGACATTTTAGGATATATTGGCCAACAGTATTTCCAGCTTCTACATTCTTGAAAGAGACGGTAGACTCTAGTCAACAAATCACTTTTGGTTCACAACATTCTACCCTTAAAACGTATGTTAAAGTAAATTCAACAGCAGAGTAAAGTCAGTCTGAAACAAGCAAAACTTCGATCAAACTTCCTAAAAGCAATCACCTGTGTGCTTCTTACTAACATATAATATTAGATATCTCAAAGGGTAAGCTCATACACAAACCATTAATGTTTGATCAGTAAACAAAGGAAGACACTTTTTTACGCAAACGAACAACAGACCAACAGTGTGGCAAAACAACTCATCACTTAAACAAGTATAAAAGTAGTATAGCGAGGTAGGAACTTAATATGTGTGACATAACAGAGAGAAGAAAAGAAAGACGCGGGTTTGGTATGTGAAACATGGAAAAGCATTGGAAGCATGCCTTCTTTACCTGTAAACTATCATCAACTCCTTTGGCATTAGCTGCACATGCTATAGAATGAAAATATCCCGTGACTGCAGCAACAACGAATTGAGAAGCAATTTGACCTCTTGAAATATAATGAGACATCACTGCCGTATTGAATAACGCCCATGTGTGCCATGCCTTGGCCCATTTAGGAGCATAGATGGTCGATTTGCTAAATGCATCAAGAATTTCTGGAAAAGAGCATACATTGTCACTAAAGTGTGATTGTTAGACATAGTTTGGCTACACTTACACAGTGAAAAGTAGCTACAATTCACCTTGAATAGACCCGTCATTCAATCCAGGAGAAAGTGCCCACTGCCATGTTCCTAGTTTGAGATTTACACGTGCAAGAAGTGGAACATTTGCGCCCTTGCTAGATACCATACTAGCCAGCATGTCAGATTGAGAATGTGGCACACTTGAGAGTTCCCTCGTCAGAATCTAGCAACATTTAATTTACATTGAGGGAAGAAACAACATGACCATTTAAGCAAGAAACTGAAAATTGCGAGAAAGAGAATAAACCAAGACAAAGCAAGTAGCTAATATGACATACCTGCAGCTTCGTAAATGCCTCTTTGCGTTTACGTTCCTCTCCAAGTGACCACTGGTATTTCAAGTATCCAAGCATCACTTGTGGAGGTCCGTGATATTGCATAATTTCTGGTGATACTTCTGGATCAAACTACAAAATAAGGAGGTCCCAAGTTAGACAAACAGAAAAAAGCGAAATCCTACAACCAAAAGGCAAAAGGTCAATACCGGCAAGAGCTTGAGTAGAGTAGACTTCGCCTGACTGATCCTCCCACTTTTTCGACAAAGCGAGGCAAACTTGAGCCAAGTTTCAACATCTTCTGTTGGAGGTAGCACAAGTGCCCGAACAGCCAAAAGTGATTGCCACACCTGAACAGTGTAGAGAATACAAAAAGTACTAAAAATCAGACTATCATAAGGAACAACACAGTTCCCTCCATCAAAAAATGCCAATGAGTTTCCTTGTTTGCTTATTGTTTAGATGTAGATATGATCTGAAAAAGAAGCTACTTTTCTTCACAAATCAAAGGATGAAGAATAAGTAAAGCAAATCTTGATATAAAGAAAAAACTCAATCTGTTTGTAAGAATTTAGAAAGATTTATTTACACCATTCCACAACATTTCATGCTTAGAATACCATATGACATGTCATTCAGCTCAGTGGCTCAACTAAAATGGAAACACAAGAAATAATATACCTCCACATTACGCTTAGATCCCTGAATCCTCTGAGTCCACATATTACGAATCAGGGCTCTCCGTTCTTCAGCAATAGTATTTCCCACAGGCAGTGTATAATATTCAATAACCTATAATCGATATAACAAGAAGAAAAAAACAAATACCTATGTTAATACAAAATATGATCAAATAAACATTGACTTTTCTCCTGTTTTCCCTTCAAGACTAGGTGATTAGGAAGGGTGGCCAGGAGTAGAGATCTTGAATAATTGAGATCTAACCTCCTCTAGTTCTGAGAGCTGCTGGACGCGAACCATATTGCTGTAAGCACGCTCATAGCTCTCCAAAACCTGCAGAAGCGCAATTATAGACAAAATGGATAGAGACTTGTACAAGTTATTCAGTCCATGTGAGAAATACTCAAGAGCAACTAAGAAGGCAACCGTGGTGATTATTGACAGGAACCAAACAATAGCATGCACAAATTGTTGTCTAGTAGAGGTCAACATGCAACAAAGATACCAAGGATGTAACTTCCTACTTTCAACAGCACATGACGTACTCAAATAGTTTCAAGGACAGAATGGAAAAGGCTGAGACTAGTTACAAAATATCCTTGCTGATTTACTTCTGTTCTCTTATTCACAACAGATGGTTCATAAATATTATTAACAAAATTTAATATGCAAATACTGCATAAACGAAAAACCTACCAGCGCTGCAAGTTCTGTGGCAAGACATTTTCTAGCTCTTTCAACATATTCCCGCGCCTCATCATACTGAAAAGTAAAAGACAGATAACCAAAAGCACCCATACACATAAATAAGTGTCCGAAAATAGATTATAAGAATGCCTGCTATGATTCAAAGTACACAAGTATAGGTTCAAGTGTACCTTCGCCCTCCGAACTAGCAGAACGGCCCTGAAGAATGTGCCACTGCTTCCATCGCCACTAGAAGCAGGGCTTGCTAGACCCCTAAGCTTTGTTTCATCACCATCATCTAACCGAGACACATATTCCGCCATTTGATCCCACTCTCCCATATTCCACGCAGCATTTGCAGCCTAGTATAGTTGCAAAATTACATCCATGTAACCATGTAGACGTATCACCGATTTTAGCATAAGCAGAAGATACCAACCATTGGAGCCATTTCCAGACGCGCAGATGGCTCTGCTGGACTCCAGTACTCTTTGCAAAGATTGTTGAGCTCTTCCCATCTTGCAAGTGCAGCGAGACATCTCATTTGTCCTACAGCATGGTCAATAAGCTACAGATTCAGGACATTTCATTAAAGGGAAAGAAAAAGCATCACAAGAACATGGTATAATCAATGTCCAACAGAAAATGTTAGCACTGGAACAAAATCCGAAAAACTGGGAGAGAGAGAGAGAAGACACAGCTTATGAAACTTAGGGAGATGAATTCTAGGAGGGTGTAAGCCACTCAAGAGACTGTGAATATCTCAGAGAATCATAGAGGATGAATTCATCCTTCATCTAAACAGTAAAAGCAGAAAGACTAAATGACTCGATTGTGAATAAAATGTCTTCACAAGGACAGAGTTCTGGAGCTTATACGCATACAAAAATGCATGGATTTTTCTGGTTCTGCAACCTAGTATCTAAGAGAGAGAATGTTATGAATTAAGACCCACAATTCTCCATGCACTACTGACTGCTCAGAGCCTGACAGTACATATTGACCCAAAAAAACTTGCAAAACCTTAGAGTTTATTTCCAAGAAAAAAGTAATAAAGGGACAAAAAACAACTAAATCCTTCCAAAATTAGACCAGGTTACCACAGACCTAATGTGGCTTCTAATACAAGATGGGGATTAGATGTTTGAGATGCTTTCAAAGTGTACGCCTTGAGCGCATCGTCCCATCGCTGCAGCTTCTCATACCTAGAAAGAAACATGTTACTGTTTTATAACTGATCGAGATCAAAGAAACTATTCAGCACACGATCTTGTGTCTGCGCGCCTATCAAACAGAACCGGAAGTACGTGTATCATGATTGAGAAAAGTCAGGTTACCATGATTCTTTTAATTGCACATCAAGATGTTGTTGAGCATAGGTCAGTATGCCGACAGCAGCCTATGACAACAAATCCCAACCAATTAATAATGACACATAACAAAGATAGTGAGGTGGTAGAAATAGAATACAAAAAATAGAGTACCTCATGCTGGTGTAACTGATTATTTATGTGTATAAGAGCCTCAACAACAGCAACTGGGTTGGCATCCATCCTCCTTGACCGTGGACCTTCAAATTCCATCTCTTTATAATGCAGGGCTTTGGCAAAAACACGGCACTGCAAAGTTGGAAATTGCACCATTAGAAATCAGACCAACGCTTGATATGAGAAGGACAGAAGTGTCATATCTAATTTGACTAGGAAATACATGACGCAAACCTTTTCAGCAAGTGCCCCCAGGAGACGAATGTCAATGGGAAGAGGCTTCTCATCATGTTCCATAAACTCTGCCTAATGAGAGTATTAAAAAAAATCAAGTTCATGTGGACCAAGCAACAAGAAAACACACAGAGGTAGGTTACATGTGACTATGTATCCAACCTAACGTAATCAAAGTAAAATGAAAACAGCTTAAGCAGAAATTTGGATACTAATGTTAATATTAGATAGAACAAAATTTACAAAACATGTTTCCAACAATGCTTACAGATCGTTCAGTTGATGGCTTTGGCAACAAAATACGTGCTTTCCAAAGAAAGACTAACAGGTGCTATCATTAAGCAAATGGTGATCTAAGCACAGTTTTTTCTTTCCAATCTAGCAAGATATAGTCAACTCATTACAGAACACTATGTATTCGCCTAGGCTAAAACACTAGCCTCCGTGAGCACAACCACAGCTACGGGAAACAAGCTTGATTTTTGTTATAGACAGACTCAATTACAGAAAACAAGCTCACTGTCCTGTTTTTTTTTTTTTTTTGAAGTTTAGCAAAGAACGTACCAAATTGAGTAGTGTGGCCAAAATCTCGGGAGGGATATTTGGAGATGAAAAAGCCATCTCCAAGCTCCTAACTAACTGCTTTTGGCTAGCCTCGTTCAGCTGTGCCCAGCAACTGACAAAACCAGCGGCAAACAATTCTCTCCCAACAAATGGCTGCAATAGACAATCATTAAAACGCATACCCTTGTAAGAGAAGAAAAGAAAGGGCCTAGATGAAAAACCTGCAACTGAGCAAGTTTTGCACAAGTTCTTAATGCTGGAGAGGGAGACTCCTTAAGTAGTTCAATACTAAAATGTCTCATCCATTCTTCCCAATCTTCCTTGGTACTACGTTGAGAAGCTTCTCCAGCTGTCCGTAGTCTACCATCATTAACCTGTTAGACAAATCATCAAAAGCCATAAGTGACAGTTTTAGCTCTTTCAAAACAAAGAAAGAATAAAAACTTTACAAGAGGATCATGTTAGATCAAGCACATATATAGTTTTTATTTGTCTATATAAGCAAAAGGATGCCCATGGAGAAGAGTAAAAGAAAAGGGCATATTTTACAAACGTATTGAAGCAAATGGCTCAGGTTGATTCTCGTTCTTGAGGACCAAGACTGAGCTTCACTGGATATAAGTTGTTATAGACAATCCTATATTTGAACTACCAAGAGCAAGATGCAGAGACACAATGAAGTCATACTAATACTGACTATGCCATCAACTAGAAAACTACAGACCAGAAAGTAGTACTATGTTACAGTACAATACTTGATAACATAAAATTAACACATCAGGAATCTGTGTATAAAAACGACCCAACAAAGAGTACCTGATGATTTCTGTCGTTTCCATCTTCAAAAGGATCAATCTCATTCTCAATTACAGGATCCCTGATAACCTCAACTGGCAGTCGCCTACTTAATTGTTGAGTTGCTGTTGTAGCTACAATCAACGGCTCACGTCTCCGCCATCGAGCATGAATTTCCTCAAATTCTTTATGCTGGAAAAATGTTGTACAGTGAGATTTAACAGACAGCAGTATATTATACAAGAATGAAATCTAAATGCATGCAATCTATGATAGAAATACACGACAAATAAATGCATAGTGCTATTATATGTAGAAGATAGTTAAAAGAAAGACCCGCAAGCGATGCTTCAACAAAAGCTTGTGAATTGATTCAATGAATATGGTGAAGTCCTCTCCAAGAGCATGAGCCAAACAGCATAGTGCATCGACAGCATCCTTCCGCAATTCATCATTCTTCCTGAGATTACAGCAAAGACCCCATAAGAAATTTTATACTGGAAACTGAAACCAGGAGTAAGGAAAGGAGAAACGTGAAACGACAATCCCACCAGAAACTATTTAGTCAAATCGATAATGGCAAATAAAATTCCATGATATAAGGAAATTTTACTTACATCTACAGAGTCCTAAAACAAGTAACTCGGGGACGGACAAATTCATAACTTAAGAGAAATCTAAACAATACATTGAAAAACAGATTCATAACAGTAAGCAATGACGGAATGAAATCTAATGAGAAAATAATAATAATCAAATCCTTTTCTGATAATGCCTTGCCAACTCAAGGATATTATGGATGTATAATTTCAAATCCACTATCCTTCGTTGGATGAACCCAATCATTTTAAAGAGAAACCCAGATAGTGACATAATGCCTAACTATAGAAAAAGCATTGTAGAAAGCCTTACAATAAGGTTACCGGTACACTATTTTCTAAGTCCAGACAGTGAAATATAGCGTACCAAGTAAAGGCGCAGATATGTTTTCATAGAGATCTATTACAACTGTTGAGCTTTACAGTTGTATGAAAGGAAGACGGAAACTCACCCATCTAATACTAGCTTCAAGTGATGCACAAGAGCTGAGATATGACCAGTAACCTGAGGATATATCGATAGTTAAAGAGGTACTACAAGAAGCTTAATATGGAATATTTCCCTGGATTAGCAACATAAGGAAAGAAGATAATAATTGGAAAAAAAACAGCTCCTAACCTGAACACACGGGATTACTCTTGTCAAAGTTTTGATGGCATCGCGTCTTATAGCCACGGGGGCATCTACTTTAAACAATCGGATAAGGGCAGGAAGAAGTAAATGCATGTGCTCATCAAGTGTACCTGCACATATGCACTAGGTCAACTATAAGAGTGAAATCTGGCCATGGTGTGAAAATAGAAATTACGCAGTAATAACCTGACTATTCAAAGATCCTATGTTTACAAAAAAAAACAGAACTTGGATTTCTTTTACTGATTAAAATTATAAAGAGTATGCATATATTAACACTATATGAATCATACACTACGTGATCTGATACCATGGAACCTCGTTACCTTCCGGTTAGAAAATTGTATACGTTAATAACTAGAACTTGCATGCCGTAATAATGCAAAAAGACTATGAGGATGTCTAAACAAGAAATTTTTAACTGACCGCCAAACACTTCGAGTGTGTGGAGAATATCAGGAACGTAGATGTAATCATTACACCGCTCCGCGTCACCTAATACTTGGATGAAACATGGAAGGATGACTGGAAGATAAGTTCTGAATTCATCATTAAGTGCCAAGCAAAGATGTTCTAGTAGATGCAGAACCTGATGATCAGTAAGAGAGACGAATTACTCTCCATAAGATATATGCCCATAAAGCAATAAGAAACAGATCGCACTCTAGGCTGCATAGAACTTACTGGAAGACCACGAGAGGGTCGTACGGGACCTGGCAAGGTGAATGATGACCATAGCTCAGAGACTAGTGAGAGCAACTCTGGCAGATACTTCCGTATGTGCTGTAAGACAGATACATAAGCTAAGAGTTTACACAAAATCATTCGTATTTTGGCCATAACTGAAAATGTTAATGTGGTCATACCTGACGCACTATGGAAACAAGAGTCCCAAGACCCCATGTAATAAAGTCCTTCAAGTTCTCATCAGAAGTGCGAACAGTGTGAAAAAGCTCAGGTAACACCTTAAAAATGAAACCAACCAACAAATTAGCAAAACGTCCGAGGATACATATAGTGCATGAAATAATGATGGCAGTGACCCAGCCATTCAGAATAATAATAGAAACAAAAGTCACTTTAAATCAGAATAAAGTTGAAAATTCTCAAATATCTGACGTCAAAAATCACCACGACATACAAAATAATCGAACTCAGAAGTAACACAGTAGGCATACGTATTCAAAATTAAGCAACCCAAAGAAACAGCTTCGATAGTTTCTCCAAGAAAAGATATAAAAAGGTAAAACGGAGACAGCATGGATTAAAAAGCTGCAGGACATGCAATATTCTATATACCTTTGGCAAGTAAGGCACGCATCCCAATCCCATTGACTAACCTCGCAAAAACAAAAATGTAATAAAGTTGTAACGTGTTCATTATTAGATTCATCACAAGTTTATCTAAAAACAGTCAGCATTGTTTTAGTTACCTTGAATATGATCATCAGAGATCTAACAACCCTTTTGTGGTAACTAAGAAGTGATGGATCTCTAAGGATTCGCATAAGCGAGTTGATAGCAACCTATAACGAGGAGATTAATACGAGCACAATTAAGACTACAGTTGCATCACATGGGTTAAGAACTACCGTTGAGTAATAATCCTCAGATGTAGCAAATGATGGCCGGAGTTCCACAGGTAACTCATCGATTGATGGAATAGGTTGACCTGAATCACCAGTACCACGAGGAACTTCACCATGTGTTCCTGATAAACTTTGTTGGTTACGTTTATGTACATGAGGATCCAAAGCACCCATAATTCCAAGCACCTGTAGATATAACCAATGTCTTTCACATCACCTATGTTCTAGAATAGTCTAGCTTAGAAATTTATTTCTCTAGAAATTACCTTGAGCACTTCTCGTCTAGTAGACCACACTAAGTCACCCTTCAGCAATTTTAAGAGTAAGCCAAGCAACAACGGGTATTCCTTGTATGGAGTCACAACATACCTACGTTAACAATGAAATGAGAGCCATAAATAACATGCCGGGAGGATTGTGAATTTCTGGAACTCCCTTGATATTGTATTCGTTTTGTGTGCAATATATAGCATATGACAACCATTTCCCAAGTTACTCAATGCAACATGCAAGTTGATCACCTCACTATTTACAAGTATGTCTACAACCTCATCAACATCAATAGTAAAGTTGATTTAATATAAGCAGCATAATATACTAGGTAGTGGTTAATCAATCCTTCTCGCACGACGAAGAGATAATATAACAAGACATTGCAAGTTTGACATAGAAAAATTAGGGCAATATTCTATCTCCAATAATAGTAAGCCACGGATAGAAGAACTGGCTAGGAATAACAATCTTTCATTTCATCTAGAATTTGCTAACTTCTAGTAGTTCAAAGAATAAACATATGACCAGTTCTCACATTTTATATACAGCAACAGCCTAGCAATAGCTCAAGCTTCTAGCTACATAATTAGAAGATATAGAATCCATGTATTCATGTCAAATTTTCAATTGCAAATTTGCAATCCAGTATCTCCATCTAGCCGAATCAGGCTTTCACCAATCACCTAGTCAAACTAGCAATCCAGTATTTTATCTGATGGTAGCGTCATATCTTACAGAGAAATTAGTAGGTTCAACATCACCTAGTCAAACTATCAAATAAAATACAAAGGTATTTTCTAAAAGAAGGTAAAAGTCTATCCCATACCCTGTACTTTGAACAACTTGACCAAGGGTAGAAACAGCCACCTCACGTTTTGCTACAGCAGCTCCATCCATTAAAGCTTCAACAATCAAAGGCATTAGCTCAGGAATATATTGTCTCATTGCCAAGCCACCCTGAGCAAGCAACGGGGAAAAAACACGGGAGGAATATCTTAGCCAAACCCAAAAAATAACAACAGGAAATTAAATAAAAGTGTCACCACTCTGTCAACTTAACGACAATAAAAGACAATATCATAGATAACGGCTAATAAATTTTTGAAATATGCTTTGCCAACACAGCTGGGAAGAGTCAAATTCAGACTGCGAATTCCACGCATATCAAAAGCACAATTACATTTGATTGACATTTAATAGAGAAACTACACATTTACCACAATTAGATTTTTAACTTACCACTCTTGCAAGATCCCCAACAGTCACGAGAACTCCAGTAACAATATTATTGTTAGCATTCACTCCAGTTCCTTCACTAAGTCTTGCAACAAGTGCCTAGAAATGCGGAACTATAAGTTGATAACCCCGTGAACGACAATAATAGTCATATTATCTAAGAAGCGAAGAGGATACCAATCTAACCTTTTGCACAGGAGCTACATATGGAAGAATGAGCCGTTCACAATTTCGAACTAAACAACCAAGGAGCTTCGCACTCTCTTCTCTGCACTTGTTATCTGCACTGCTGACATTACAATTGAGGTCAATGCAACATATACTTGATGATAGGAAACAAATCCTCACATAAGAACTAAAGAAATTTGCAGTTACCTCAGCTCAAGATAGGTTAACAGCTGTATAAGATGGCGACGAAGTGCTGGAAGAACGTATGCTGGATTTTTTTCGGATAACCTCCCAGCAACTGAGATTGCATATTCTCGGACATCAAGGTCCTGTTGAACAGAAAGATTCAAATATATGAAATGAAACGGCTCCATTAACTGAACAAATGAAGTAGCCGGGTAGAGTGAAACATAAGCCAAGCATTTAATCAAGTTAACAGGGGTGTCACACGGATGCATTTCGTTCATCCACCACGTAAGAAATGCATTCCATACACAATATATTCAAGTAAGATAGCTCAGCAGCAGTTTTCCAGTACAGCTTAGTTAATTAAGTTCTGCAATGAGGGAGTAATCGAGTAACTAACTTCATGAACCCACCAAAACTGAATTCCAAAAAGCAATAGAATTGCAAGTCATTAAGTCCAAGGAATATATAGATGGATATATGATACCATGGTAATGATGGAGTTCGAAACATTCTACATATCATATCATAAAAGGGAACGAAAAGATAAAGTAATTAAAGAAACAGAGGTATCATCACTTTTCCGGTCATGTCAGTCAAAAAACTACTTTGGAGCTGCTTAAAACATAGAGAACAAAATGGAATAGTCGTATGGCATATGCTAATTTATTCAAACAAATAACTTATTCATACCTCATCATTTAAGGAAGCGAAAATGGCAGTCAAACTATCAGCCTGTGCTAGATAATCATCGAAACATTGGTTGCTATATAAAGCAACGAAGATAGACTTGCGAACAGTTACATCAGCATCGGCAACAGCTGTTCTGAGAAGCTTTTCCACAATCTGCAGAACCCAAACATTATTTCTCAGGCAAACAGAAAAATTGGAACCGCCACTGGTATTGCAATAAGAAAAGGAGTTCAAACTTGGAAAAAGTTTAAAAAGAAACCTTTTGTAATGAGAATAAGGGAATACTTAAAGACAAGCAATAAGAAAAAAATGTAAAGGGCTTTCAGTATTTATATAATACCTCTTCCACAAGTCGCCTTCTTCTTCCCCCAGCTCGAGTTGACCTGCTAGAACCAAATTGTGCGATCCCAGATAAGGAATTTGCAATTAGTCTACAACAGCACAACGCAGCATCTTTTCTTGTGGCTGCATCCTCATCATCCAAATAAACAACAACCGACTCCCGAGCAAATTCAAGAAGATCATGCCCCTGCTAGAAATCAGAAACTCAGTAAAAGAAAATTCATATTCTTTAGAAATGTTAACAGCAAGGAGCACCAACCTTGAAATTGAAACGAGCCAGAGTCTGCAGGGCTAGTTGAACTTGAGCTGAACAACTAGGGTCAGTAGACTGTGGTGCCATGCTCACTGTACTACCTCGGACCACGGTAATAGGAGGCTTTGTTTGAGAATAATGAGATCTTGAAAGAACCAATGAAATGCAATCTAGAAGCCGATCTTGTACCGTTGGCAGCAACGAAGGAATGCTGAGACCCAAAAGAATTGTCAAGCATTGAAAGTGTACACATCAATGTAAGTAATAAAAAAAAACATCTATCGTTCAACTTTTACCTAATGGTTATCTGATCAAGAGCGTCAACAAGTGTAGAAGACAGACTAGAGGAAAACATAACATCTAGAAGATCTCGAACATGAGTTTCCACTGTGGATCCCATTGCCTTTGCGATGTTACCAACACAAGCCACAGCTTCAAGCAAAGGTCTACCTTTACGTGGGGCGATCTACAAGGAAAAGATAATGAAAAGAAACCTCTCTAGTTCAGTTCACAAAAATAAGACCCAGGAAAATACTTAACACAAAACTAGTAAACATATTCAAAAAAAACAATTTGACGCACCGCATCCCGCAGATGAGACATAATTGTCGGCAAATAGTGGATAAGCTCACCATCCAACGCACCAGCCATTTCCCCAAGGGCGATGAATCCACTGGCACGTTCAGCCGGTATTCTTAACACAGTAAGAATATGATTCATGCATATCTGCAAGAAAGTAATTCACATCACGTTTTACAGATAGATATTGGTTTCATCACGTTTTAGAGATAGTTATTGATTTCAAGAATCCCTCAGTCACCTACCGTTAAATAATTTGTAACAAAGCGGTCACGGAGGAAATGAGCAATGCGAGGCAGCAACGAGGTGATGCTAAGGCGAACAAGGCGATCACGATGTTCAAGGTATCTGAGGACAATTTCAGCAACTTCTCTATACCTAGACATCATGAACTCTCCTGTATTCCTGTAAACGAACTCTAGCATTAAGTCATAAACTCTAACACCTGATATGCCATGAAATCAATCTGGGGATAACAAAAAACAATGCAATTTTGTCTTCGAGTCATTTGTTCAGGTATACCCTAGAGTGGAGCAAGATACATGACTTATATTTTATATAACAGTGGAAACTACAATTCAAAGACAAAGAAAAAACAGAGCATCACTGGGACAAAAACTATCCTCTAAGGATACAAAATTACTTCTGCACTTACCTCAAAAGCTCCCCCACAGCAAGTAAGGAACCATGAATACTATGGACCGGAGCATTTCTGCCCAACCCATCCTGTGTAGCTTCAAACATTCGATAGTACCTGCAAAAGCCAGATGGAGAGAAGATCAGTGAACTTGGTTTAATATCATACAAACAAGGAAAACTCTAATGCTAAATCAAAGACATTGTGTTGGCAACTATATATTTTAAATACAGCAGAAAGTCAGCACGTCGAAGAACATTAATCAAATTGACGAAACCTTCAATACTCTTAAGAACATTGAAAGCAAGACAACCCAGCTAGACCGGTTCATTACATTTCCAATCTACTTCATATCTTCATTGATCATGTTAAAATGCTCAAAAAAATATCACCATGGGGAGAATATATAGTAAAAAAATTATACATTTTTGGGACCGCGGCATAAAAAGAGAATATAAGTTGCATTTACACAATAATAATTCAAATAGTACCAGCAGATGACCTTGCACTTAAATGAGGATAACAGGATTGCAAATGAAAGTATAGCAACGACACGCTTCAAAAATATCTTACCAAATGTAGTACTATCGTTCCTAAGGAAAACATTTTAGGACACTTGACCATTGTGAGGGAAAGAAGAATACGAACCACTGTACTCGCCAACGAGTCTCCCTTTTCTCAATAACACGAAGGCAAGCACGCAAAGCCTCAACAGCTCGCTCTCGTACTTGCAACTGGGGATCCCTTAGTGCAACCCAGATCGCATCCACGAATTGAGGGACATGAACATTAAAGACCGTGGAAGCATTTTCTGCCATCTCCTGCAATGTTGCAAGAACATAGCCATATCCATTTTAATTTACTAGGTCGAATAGCTATCCTCACAGTCGCAACCATTTTCCCAACATCAATAATCCAATTTACTTGTGATGCAGAAATTTATTTGTAAGTAACCCAAAAAGAGAAAAGAGCATGCTTTTCTGCAGGAGGTCGAAAGGACAGGACAGTTGACGTCAGGTTACCTTTAAGATTAAAACGGCGGCAAAACGACGATATTCCACCCTGTCTCCGTGAAGCCAGTCAAAAGCAGTTTTCATCTGTAATGACATAACAAGAATCAATACTTGAGCACCTATAACCTGAGCCAATGATAGACAGGGGAAAGAAACAAAAATCGTACCTGAAACTCCACTTCGTCAGAAGTCATTGCTCCACCTGCCCGAGCAAGGTGCCCCAAAACTCTACTTGCAAGCACCAAGATTTCAGGGTCACGCTTCAACTCGAACACAGTCCTCATGTAACCCGCAAACCTAGAAACCTTTGTAGCATTCTCGCCGAATCCAATCTCTGTCAACTCATCAATGGCTCTGAGTCCACCCATGTTTTCAGCCACGTCCGTGCTCTCAATTAAATTAGCAATTCTGTCGTATAATTGCTCCATGAACCTAGAGGAAGCTTCACCGCTAAGATCACGAACTGCTTCCTCTACATGTTTCCTAAACGCTAAAGGAGCTCCCTCCTAATACAACAAAACAAAAAGCATCGGCATTTGCTAACATCGAGTACGAAACCCAAACAAAGTCGCGTACTTCAGGAAACTAAAAATACATCAAAATCCGCAAATTGGTATTACCTATTTGAACTAAAAATTTGAATTTTGCATTAACAAGAACAGAGAGATACCTTCAGCTAAGCCAGAAAACCAAAAGTACTTATCTGGGTTTCTACTAATTTCAATTATCCATGGAACTAAGCATGAAAAGATGAATACTTTACAATGTTCTTCATTACCTTAGGATTACCACGGCTGCAAAGGTCAGCGATGACACGGTTCAAAGTGTCGAAGCTTCCGCCGCCAGAAGCGGTGGCTGCTGGACCACAAAAGCGGTGCGATTGCGACGGAGAAACCATGGATGCAGGCCGTCCAGCCGCAAAAGATTGCGACGAGGAAGACATCGCTGTCCAGCCTCAAAAATCTCCCAAAAACCCTAAATCTGACCCCTTTTTGTTGCAACAACACTGGGTAGAGAGAGTATGTACAGAGGAAGAGAGAGGTATCTTCAACACATCGTGCGTAAAAGAGAGAGAGAGAGAGAAGCGAAGATCGCAGGAGAAAATAGGATTCTTTTTTTTTCTTTTACAAAATTAATTCGCAAGTGCTTTTAAGCTTTTTTAGGTCTTGATCTTTCAGACAATGTCCTTGGTACATAAATATAATTGAAAGGTTTTATCAATTTCCTCAAAAAGAAACTATAGTTTGTGTAATGTTCAAAAAAAAAACTATAGTTTTGTATAAATTCTCCACCAAAAACAAAAACAAATTATATATTCAGGGAAGAAGAAAAAATGAGAGACATTATACATATAATTTTTTATAAATATTTATTCTTATATTATATAAAGTTTTTCATTTTGATAATCTATATGTTTTAAAGTTTCCTTGAATTTTTGTCTTGAAACATCAATTTCTTATGGACATTTATAATGTTATAATCTCTTACTATAAAAAATAAATTATTCAGTCAACTGAAAATGTTATGATATGCAAAATCTAATGGATATTGAATTAATCAAATCCTATCCATTACAATGTTTAGGTCTTGGCAATGAATACAGACTGCAGTGAATCAGTGATGGTTAAATTGTTAAAAAGAATTAAAAAAAAAACTTGAAACCATTTATATCAACAACAGGAATGGTAAAAGATAAATCGATTGAATGGTAAAAGATAAATCGATTCAATAATTTATTTTGGTCAAAGGTTAAATAAATGAGGAGGATATTGTTATAGTGTAATCGCCGTTGTATGGTTGAGTCGTGGTGGTGATGTTCGTCGGGAAATGGGTTTAATGTATAGTGTTGATTGATGTGTGGTGAACTTAACGTAGTCTCTTTTTGGCCGATATCGATCATGAGATATTATAACAAACAAAAAAATAGTTGAACGATCTCTCTAAATACATATATATGTTGTATCTAGCAAGAACTTTGTCTCAATAACGTGGAAAGATCTAACCTGAAACGATGTCTTGATATCCTTCAATCTTTTACTAACGAAAATAAACGGATATACTCTTAGACCACCTCCATCGACAAAAATATATGTTATCGTCTTTTATTATTATATTATTAATATAAATTATTTATTTAATTAATATTTAAAATATAAAAGGAATGAGCAAATAATAAATGGACATGTGTATACAAATTCTTTAGAATCATGAAACAAAAAATTTAAACAACACTATGGATTGTTCGCGCGATGCGCGGGTTTAGTCGGAAAAAAAATAACTATTTTATTTTCATTTGATTTTGGTTTGAATAAATTAATTTGATCCATTTTTGTTGTACTATTTTAGCTGTGTCGCTTTTGTTATAAAATTTTGTCAAACTCTTTTGTTAGGTTCATAACTATTCGAATTGTACACATTTTATATTAGTGTATGTTAGGTTTGCAACTATTTGAATGATACACATAAATTATCAATAAAATATATTATCTTCTAATTCTATTACCAATATGGGTTATGGTGTTTTGTTTTGTTTTTGTTAAAAATTTAAAAAAAAAAAAATTATGATTATTATAGTGGATTTTCAGAATTAATTAATTGTTAATATATAAATAGTATAATCTACCAACATATCTCATTTAGTTTCTTTTTAATCAACAAATATTATAAAAATAATTATTTAAATGTTAATTGAAACCTTAAACTTTTCAAACACATAGAATATATTAAGAGATTTCCAATTCTTACTTTCTTAATATTAGACCAAAGTTTTTTTTTTTTATTACATTTTGCATTAGACCAAAGTTACGTAACAAAATTATAAAACATTCCAAGAAATGGTATAAGACAACTTCTAGCCAACTAAGCTGAAACATCAATATTATTTATCACATTGTTCCAGGTACATAGAGAAAACTAAAAGTAAATGAAGGAGATGAGAAAGGTAGGATATCCTTTACGTGACAATAGGAAGGCGACACAAGAAATTTCTTCTCATGTTGTGTATGGCTTCAATGACTGTGTCATGCAAAATTTTGTTGTCCCTGCAAAACTGACATAAACATATGATAAGTTTTTATTTTCCTTAACTGCCATCAGCAAAGCAATTGCCTTAGCTTCCAAAAGAGTTAAAGTTGAGCAATCGATGATTTGCCATGAAGGATAGACACTTTATTTTTATAAAGATTCCAAGCAATGCATGTTGGTGGGGAGATACCCATAATGCATATGTGAGACAGACATATTGCTTACAAACACTGAATAATATTTCAGTATTTTTTATATTTTTGTGTCCATGAGCTCCCTGGTTTGAAGGTATCATTTCATCTTGCCTTAATTTGGATTCATACCATAGTTGCTTACCCAAGATTGCATTATTTTATATATATATATATATATATATATATATATACAGTATTTATAAGATGGGAAATGAATTCTTTTCAATTTCAAAAGACCAAACTATTCCTGGCTTTTCATAATCACCAACCTTTGAAGGAAAAATAAGGAAGTCATACCTTGATAGTTAGGACAATTAAGTATGAATGTTTAGATATTTTGTTGAAGAGAATTGGACACCATTGTTACCCACTTTGGAGAATATCTAGAAAGCAAATCAATCAATGGCTATACTACCTATTAGAGAATAGTTTAGAAGATGATATTTGTTAGCAATGACAGCTGAAATTATGGGCACATACATTCCGGGAAAATGAACAACCAAAAGAGAATAATTGTAATATCGTATAAGGAGAGAGAGTCTTGCATCCATCTGAAGTTGGAACCAAAAAGCCTTGAAGAGCATTAAAGTAAAACTCCATAGTCTCTTAAGTGATTAAGCTTTTGGAGCTTCTCCAGTCCATAGCATTCCCACTATTTAAAGTTAAGCATCACCAAAAGATAATCGTTGCAAAGTTTCAGCACCACCAAAATTAAAAGGAACCAAAAAGAGATGTCTTTTTGTAACATATAATGACTTATTTGGAGAGGTGATCAGACATATGAAGAACATCATTAACTTTCTTTTATGTTCGATCGAACAACTGCAAATAAAAAAATATTAGCCTAATTTTGAGATGGATGTCAAAACTTGCATATCAAGCTGACCCTATAAACATTGTCCTTGTCAATCCAGTAATAACTGAGATTAAATATTTTAAAAATTAGTATTACCCGTTTGTATGAGAACTTTTTTTTTTTTGTTCCTCCTTTTTTTCCTCACATACGACATAATGAGATATGGATCCTTTCTCGCTAACATCTTGGAGCTATTTTCAGATATAATCGAATTTCATTTGCAGTTTCGATTAATTCATCGTACCCGCAACTTTTCAACCGTTTCTTTCTCCTATCGTTAGTTTCACTGTTATGGCTGTAAATCTAGTTTGTTCTTGCTTTAATATGGTCGTTGGTATGAACACGCCTTATCTTCTTCGCCGTCTGTTACATCCTTAAACTCTAGGAACAAAGCGTATGCCCCGCCTCCTTTGCAAACTCTCCCTTCGGGTTGTTCTTGCTAGCTATGGTTTCTAGGTTTGTTCCCTCTGATTGAGTTTCCTTTGCGTTCATTGTTGCTTCCTTTTAGCTGTTTCAATGTACTTATTTGAGTTAATGAGTTTTGGTTCACAAATAGTGCTAATTTTTTTGCTTTCGCTTTAAGTGCCCAACTAAAAGAGAACTGTAAAATGGTGAGTGCATGAACTAAAATTCGTTAAAGAAATCTAGAAATCTTAAAAATATAAATGATTGGTACTGTATCAGTAATATTTTTTCCCTCGTAGTATGTGTAGCTTTAAAAAACCAATACTTTGTTCTTTGCATGTCAACGTTTTGGAATCGATCAATTGAAACAAACGGTGGTGGTTGATTTATGACAGTAACATTATGTACACTTTTACTTTGCAAATAGGTGGATATAATTGTGAGGAAAAATAATAAAATACATAAAAATCAAGAATTTTTGTGAGTAGGACAAAGACGCGTAACATAATTTTGGAGGACAAAGCTTATAATTGTTGAGCCGAGATCTCCCATCTTATTATGCGGTGTCTTCTCCACCGTTTCTATTTCAGCCGGAGATTTTTCTGTATTTGCAAGGTATCAACTTTCGTGACGTAGAACTTGGTGGTGAGGTTTTATAAGCTTTCGTAGGCTAAGGGAGGCATCATAGGAGTTTGGCTTTTAAAATTGATGAATGATACTAATAATTATACAGTTAATAAGAAGAAATGGCAACGGAGTTGGAGGAAGCCAAATCGATAACACAAAGTAAACTGAGTTTTGGGAATTCAGAGAGAATCTGAAACTCTCAATTGTTTGCAATGTAAAAGTAAACAATCATTAATGGGGCAAACGAAATAGACTCTTAATTATCTATATCATTAATACATTTGAAGAGCATATATTTTTTATTTAGTTAAAATGCTGATGTTGGCAAAAAAAAAAATGTTGATGTGACAACATTTTAGAGAATTTCATTTTGGCTGATGTGGATGGCTTAAGGAGCCTCAAACAGCTTCTTTTATTTAGTATAGATATATCTAGTTTCTCTTTTTTTCTTTTCTATTTTTTTATTTTTTTATTCGTAAAATACTCTCCTAAGATACATCAATGGAGATGCTCTTAGATAGTAACTTATATATATATACTAGGTATATAACTTGCGTTAAGCGCTAGTCTGTATAAAAAAATAATTTTAAGTTTTCCATCTATAAAATAAAATTAATGTTTTAAATTTTGATAGATGCTACATTTTGGTTTTTTTAACATAATTTTATTTTCTATTTGTTACTTAAGCTTTTTTATTTTGATTTTTCCATTTATAAAGCGAAATCAATGTTTTATATTTTCTGGTTAATTAATTTAGAAGTTAGAGTTTTCTTAATCTATATTATAAGATTGAACTTTTATGATATTGGTTTTTTTGTTAGTTTAACTCTTTTGAAAATAAATTTGTATTTTATTTTTAAGGATACTATTTTTTTGGTTTTTTAACATAATTTTCTTTTCTATTTGTTACTTAAACTTTTTTATTTAATTTGTCCATGATTAAAATGAAATTATGGTTTTAATTATACTTAACATTTTTTTGTTTAATAAAAATTACTGATGTGAACCAATCATATCGCGTTTTTTAATCCTATGTTGACGTCCTCATTTTTTGTCAATTAATTTAGAAGTTAGAATTTTTCTAATCTACATTATAAGTTTGAGCTTTTATGATATTGGTTTTTTTTTTAGTTTATCTCTTTTGAAAGATTTTTCATTTTATTTTGAAGGATACTATTTTTTTTAACATAATTTTTTTTCTATTTGTCAGTTAATGCTTTTTATTTTAATTTTTTCATCTATAAAATAAAATTAATGTTTTAAATTTTGACGGATGTTATATTTTAGTTTTTTAACACAATTTTCTTTTCTATTTATTACTTAAAATTTTTTTTATTTTGATTTTTCCATCTATAAAGCCAAATCAATGTTTTATATTTTCTGGTCAATTAATTTAGAAGTTCGAATATTTCTAATCTATATTATAAGTTCGAACTTTTATGATATTGGTTTTTTTTGTTAGTTTAACTCTTTTGAAAACAAATTTCTATTTTATTTTTAAGAATACTATTTTCTCATTTTTTTAACATAATTTTATTTTCTATTTGTTACTTAAACTTTTTATTTAATTTTTCTATGATTAAAACAAAATTAAGATTTTAATCATACTTAATATTTTTTGTTTAATGAAAATTGTTGATATAAACCAATTATATCGAATTTTTTAATCATATGTGGACGTCCTCGATGTACTGTGCCATCAACTTTTATATATATTATTGATGCATATGATTAAAACTCATTGCCAAAGACAGAGTTTGGTATCAGCTTTCTTTTTTATTTATAAGCATGTGGTTAAAACAGACATCATCATAATGTCTAATTCAGGTGTGAATGATATGATAGTTGTGATGGGGCAGGGGCAAAACCTAATGAAACATTGACCTTGAGTTTATTTCAGACTTGTCTTACTTAGATTAGATTTGCTTCACCAGCTCCAAAATGTGAGAAACTATAGATACATTTTTATTAAAATACACATAATTGAATCGTTTACTTCTACACGTTTGGAAGAAAACCTACCAACCCAAAAATATGTGAAAATATACAATTGAATTTTGCCTTTCGCTCATCAAACAAAAGGATTATAGAATCTTTGATCAAAAATTATCATTACATTTGCTTATGCACCTCGGTAAATCTCTAGATTTGTGTTTACTTCATTATTATTAACAAACACTCCATGTTCTATAAAATGTAATCGCTACCAAAGAATCACTTTACAAATAGTATACTAGTACTAATTGTTTAAAACGCATATTAAGAAAAACTCTGAACACTTTACGGCATGCGAAGTGTCATCTTCGGTTCATTGATTCCAAAATATTTAAAGTTTAAAATATAATAAAAATTCGAGTTCCATCAACAAATGTTTCTTGGAAAATGTTGAAATTTTGAGATCATTTCCAAAGTCCGTTGGACCTTTCACCTTCTTCTTCGTTTTAAGTAAACCAAACTGATAGTGTGTGTCACTACTTCAGATTTTTTCTTCTTTTCGTTTTCGTTCGTCGATTCATCTGCACAAATCCTCCAAAAAAGTTGCTTGTCTTGTAAACCAAATTAAGTCTTTAGGTTATTTCTAACGTAACTCAGGATTCCGCCGTTGCTTTAATGGACCACAGAGAGATACGAAGGCTCATGGAAAACGACGAGAAAACAACTCTATTCGCTAGTGTGTGTTCTTGGTCTATCAAAGATATTCTCAACACAGATCTCTACAAGGAAAAGGTTTTTGATCTCTTTTAATTCTTTCTTCAATAGCTTTCATCATCTTTGATACTTATCTACAATATTAGATTCCTGATCAGCAAGCAATAATGTATTTTTTGTAACAGATAGAGACAATACCAGACAGATTTAGTTCTGTTAATGAATACTTTCAGTGTTTTGTTCCTCATCTACTCGAAGAAACGCGAACCGAGCTGTACTCTAGCTTCAAATCTATATCGAAAGCTCCATTCTTTCAAATAGGTTCTATTGTGACAAATAAAAATGAAATATTCCGAAGGAGTAATCCAAGGACATCCCGCTTAACTGAAAGCTCGAGAGAGACATCGACTAAGTTGCTCCATGATATAACAATAGTGGATGCAACGTACGAGCCTACGTGTGGAGATATAAGTGAAAAGTATGAGCCAAAGTGTGGGGATATTATTGCTCTGACTCTGACAAAGGAAAGGCCAAGTCGAATCGATGACTTGAGTCCTTTACTTGTAGCTTACGTTTCTTCTGTGTATGGTGGTTTTAAAATCTCTGTTCACTTGTCTAGATCGATATCTCCTGCAGAGAAACGCTCATTTCGTTTTGGTGTTTTTCTCATGACTCTAACCACAAACACTCGAATTTGGAATGCTTTGCACAACGAAGACGCCAATTCCACTCTAATCCAGAGTGTGCTTCAGGAAAATCCATTGGTTCGTGTTAAGAAATTATCTTCTATGCTTGTTTTTTTTCTTCTTTAAACTGTTGATTCCTACCTTTTACTCTATATGTTATGCTTCAGTTGAGTGATTTGTGATCTTGCTTATGTTACAGGCTTCATCAGAAGAATGTGTTTCTTGTGAGAATGATGTTTATGGTTCTGATTCTGACGGTGTTTTGGATATAATCCGTACAACGAAGTTGAACTCTTCCCAAGAAGCAGCGATTTTGGGATGCATTAAGACAATGAACTGTAAGCACAAGAAGAGTGTGAAACTGATATGGAGACCTCCTGGTACAGGCAAAACAAAGACGGTCGCGACTCTTCTCTCTGTTCTTGTCAAACTAAAGTGCAAAACAGTTGTGTGTGCTCCAACAAACACAGCAATTGTTCAAGTTGCATCGAGGCTATTGGATTTATCTAAGGAAACAGTAGTTGTGTGCGCTCCAAGAAACAGAGCTATTGCTAAAGTTGCATCTAGGTTCTTGTCCTTATTTGAGGAAACTTCTACACTGCAACGTACCACTTACGGGATGGGGAATATCGTTCTATCTGGAAACCGCGACAGAATGGGGATTAAGAAGAGTAGTAATCTTCTCGATGTGTTTTTTAATCACCGCATCAGTAAACTCTACCAACTGTTTTCAACCACTTCTGGATGGAAGCAGAGTTTGGAGTCAATCAAAGATTTTCTTGAGAACACAGAGGCTAAGTACTAGAAACATGTGCATAAACTAGAAGAAGATCATAGGAACAAGAAAGAAGAGGAAAAGAAGAAGAAAGAAGAGGAAAAGAAGAAGAGAGAAGATGAAAAGAAGAAGAAAGAAGCGAAAAAGAAAAAGGAAGAAGGGGAAAGTGTGAAGGAGGAAGCTGAGAAGATGAAAGAAGAAGCGGAAAGTAAGAAGGAAGAAGAAGTTGTAAACATTCCTACGTTTGGAGAGTTTGTGAAGAAGAAATTTAATGGCTTAAGTAAAGCATTGGAGATACATATGGTTGATTTGTGTACTCATCTGCCTAAGTCTTTCATTTCATCTGAAGATGTGAAGAACATGTTCGGAGCCCGCCAAGCACTTGAGCGTGTTAGATGTTTCTTGCAGGAGAATTCTTCTAGAGATGATTTCAAGAAAGGTGGTTTCAGATACAACTGCTTCACCAGATTCATCAGTGTTGATGCCCTTGAGGCTCTATGCCTTCTTCCAAATTGTTTTGGGATCACAGGCTTTGCTCGCTACGAAGATATTAGGAAGTTCTGTCTACGAAACGCAGACATAATCTTCTGCACAGCCTCAGCTGCTGCGGATATGAAACCGGAAAGGACAGGATCGATCGATCTTCTTGTGGTCGATGAGGCGGCTCAGCTTAAAGAATGTGAATCCGTTGCTGCACTGCAGCTTCATGGACTTCGTCACGCGCTTCTTATAGGAGATGAGTTTCAGTTACCTGCAATGGTTCATAACGATGAATGCGAGAAGGCGAAGTTCGGAAGAAGCTTGTTCGAGAGATTGGTTCTGATTGGTCACAACAAACACTTGCTTGATGTTCAGTACCGAATGCATCCTTCGATTAGTTGTTTCCCTAATAAGGAGTTTTACGGCGGGAAGATCACAGATGCTGCGGTTGTACAAGAAAGGTCTTACGAAAAGCTGTTTCTTCAAGGGAACATGTTTGGTCCTTTCTCGTTTATCAATGTCTGTCGTGGAAAAGAAGAGTTTGGTGATGGACATAGTCCCAAGAACATGGTTGAAGTTGCTGTGGTTTCTCAAATCATATCCAGTCTTTTTAAAGGTTATATATAATCTTTCTTTCTTGGTTTTGTTATATGTTTCTTTATGCTTTTTTGGTTAACTTTGATTAGTTTTGAAACAGTTTCATGTGAAAGAAGGATGAAGATGAGCGTTGGAGTCATCTCACCTTACAAAGGACAAGTCAGAGCAATCCAAGAGAGGATCGGAGATAAGTACAGTTCCTTATCAAGTTGGCTTTTCACTTTGAATGTTCAGTCCGTGGATGGGTTTCAAGGAGGAGAAGAGGACGTTATCATCATCTCTACGGTTAGAAGTAACGGTAAAGGAAATATCGGATTTCTCAGTAACCGTCAAAGAGCCAACGTGGCACTGACTCGAGCAAGGCACTGTTTATGGGTGATTGGGAACGAGACAACTCTGGCTCTCAGCGGTTCGATTTGGGCAAAACTGATTAGTGAGTCGAGGACACGTGGTTGCTTCTTCGATGCTAAAGATGCTGAAGAATCTAAGAGATGCCATCAGGTTGGCCTATTAGAGGACAATTGCACCGCCCTAGGTCTACTTCCCAAATCAAGCAAAATTAGGATAATAATGAGATCTAAATTTGTGTATTTCATCAATTATTAGAGGTCCAAATTTGTGTTTTTATCAATGAAAGGGCCCTAAATTTTTTTTTTTTGTCCAGAGACCAGGTCATTAAAAATATTGAGCCGGTCCTCGATGCCATAAACGATGCTTTGCTCCAAGATGTTTCTTCCAGATTTGGATCTCTATCGATCATAGATGGGAGAAGAAATGTTTGGTAGATTTCAGTATATCATATTTATGCTCTTTTAATCTTTTGAATACTCTGTATTGGATTCTAGATTTTTTTGTGGTTCTTAATTATGGTTTTATGTTCACATATGAAATTCGATTTACTATTCTAATCAAATTTGGTGGATCATGTGTGACAGGTCCCATGTTACACTTGTGAAGTTAAAATAAGCGTACCAAATACATCATTCCCATGCATGCACTCTCCTCTAAATGGTACCGTGCCAAAGACATCACTGTTTCAACCTAATAGTCACATTCAGGTCGAACCTACTTCTCATGATGGCTCATGTGAAAAACGATATATGAACAAAATTATTCGTCCTTACAAAATGTTAGAATCTGTTTTTTTTTTTTAATGTTTATCACAGAAATTAAATTTGACTTTATATTTATCTAGACATATCTTATGTTTATCACAAAAAGTAACATACATGAAAATTATACAATTTAATTGTTCAAGCGGTATATTATTATTAGCAAAGGATAATGATGCCAACTAATACATGCGTGTTCCAAACTTTGGGACCAGCTCATCTAATCTCTTCTAACTCTCTAAGTGATAAACAGATAGATAAATATAAATTAATCACTCTCAAGTCCTAACTCATTTCAAATTTCAAACCTAAATCATCATCATCTCAAAATTAATCTTAACTCTACTATGCACAACTTTAGCTTAGCTAGCGTGCTGTCACTTTTTTTTTTAGTTTTCCATTAACTCTATAAGATCTTTCAAAGAAATTAAGAAATCAGTATAGGTGCCAAAAAAGCTATAATACGATCTTACAAAATCAAAACTCGGCATATTCGTCAGATATTAACCAGCACACGTGTAAAAATGTCCCTAAAAACTCAAAAATGTATATTAATAATTTAAGACCACCAAATATTCATTCATATTGCTACCTGATTCTTTAATATATATTCCTTGTAAAGGAACATATACTATAACCACATAAGGAACTTTCGAAATTATACCGAAATTGTAGAAGACCAGGACAAACAAAACTCAAAACATTACTCTAAAAAAAGCAATAAATAGTCTCCAACATACAAAAAAAGCTTGACAAAAGGGCAAGAAATACTAAAATCTAAAAACAGAAATTAGAGATCATGAGAATATTAACAATATTATTATTTAATTTGCCTCTCTGGAAAATTAAACAGGTGAGTGTTTGGGTTTTGTGACCCCACAAAATCTGTTACCCCAAATTTTTGTCCCAGCTATTTTCCAGCCTGTTTCTTTCTCACCAATTTTCCATTTTTATACCTTTCTTCTTCACCGTTTCTATACTCCACTTCTCTCTTCTTAAACCCTAAATTTCAGTAGCTCTCACTAATTTGATATTTCACCCGAGAAATTCAATCTTTCAATTCAATGGATCCGTGCACTTTCGTACGGATTATCGTCGGGAATTTAGCCGTTAGGTTTCCGGCATCACCTCCGTATTCGTCTTCGTCGATTTCCTCATCGGGACCGTCTGTTTCGGACGCAGCCTCTGGTAATTGCTACTGTAAGATCAAATTCAAGAGTTTCCCACGCCAGATGGTTGCTGTTCCCGTTTTGTTGCCATCCGAACCCGAATCCGAATCGGAGTCACGGTGCTTATCCGGTGACGTCTCAACCGCTTCCGCTTGCTTCACTCTAAGCAAGTCTCAGATCGAAATGTGTCTTAAGAAGCCTAAACGGAGTGTCCTCTCCGTCGAGGTTTACTCTCACAGTGCGGCTTGTGGATTCGTCGCTGGCTCGGGTGAGAAGCTGATTGGTCGATTCGAGGTTTCGGTGGATTTGAAGACGGCGGAGACGAGGACGTGTTTGGCTCACAACGGCTGGGTCGAATTGGGAACCAAGCCGAAGAAGAAGAATAAGCCCGGGTCGGATTCGGAGCTCCACGTTACCGTACGGGTTGAACCCGACCCGAGATTCGTGTTTCAATTCGACGGCGAGCCTGAGTGTAGTCCTCAGGTTTTACAGGTCCAAGGGAATACAAAACAAGCTGTTTTCACCTGCAAGTTCGGATTCAGAAACTCCGTTGACCGGAATCTTAGTCCCAGGTCAGTAGTAATCAATAATTTTTCACGCTTTTGAGATAACGTATCTGCTTTCCCAAATTCAAGTTTTGCTTTTTTTGAGATTGTTGAAATTTGGGTTATTCATTACATCTCTGTTATGTGATCTTAAAATGGGTTTGTGTCAAAATTCTGCAGCTTATCATCGTTGCTATCATCGTTGACCATTGGAAAGGAGCAGGCTTTGAAAGAGAGAAAAGGCTGGTCGATAACGATCCATGATCTCTCTGGATCACCAGTAGCTATGGCTTCAATGGTTACACCATTCGTACCATCTCCCGGCTCGAACCGCGTAACTCGGTCTAGTCCCGGCGCGTGGCTGATCCTCCGACCTGATGGCTACACAATGAAGCCATGGGGTCGTCTCGAGGCATGGCGTGAGCCAGGAATCTCTGACGTTCTCGGTTACCGATTCGAGTTTTCCCAAGATGGAACCGCCGCTACTGCAATCCCCGCGTCGTCGTCGATCAGTTCGAAGCTCGGCGGGAGTTTTGTCATGGACGGAACCATCGCCACGGCCGCCACCATCACGGCTGCTTCTTTGACTCTCTCGGACGGAAGTTTTGACCTTTCGTCCGGGTTGAGTACAGGGTCATCAAGAACCTGTTCAGGATCCGGTTCGGATTTCGGGTTTCCTCTGCCTCAAGCGCAACAGAGCTTGGGGTTTGTCATGTCGACGACGGTGGATGGAGTGGAGAAACAGAGCAAGCCTAAGGTGGAGGTAGGTGTGAAGCACGTGACCTGCTTGGAGGATGCGGCGGCGCACGTGGCACTAGCAGCGGCGATAGATTTAAGCTTGGATGCTTGTAAGCTTTTCTCTCAAAAGCTAAGGAAAGAACTGAGACAGGCAAATTGTATTGGTGTCGTTTGACGTTCATTGCTTTGTCGTTTTTGACATAGGAGATTAGTTGTCCTCTCCTCCTCTTCCACGATCTAAATTTTTGTATCTAGTGGAAAAAATGGAGAAAGTATTTTTTGAATTCTTTGTTAAAGGTTATAGACTTTAGAGTTTTGAATAACAGCGAATCATTTGCTGTCTAATACATAGAAAAAGAAACATAAAAAATACATCTTTCACTTTCACGTCACACATGAGATGCTCACTTTGAATTTGTAAAATCCAAAGGTTAATCATGTCACTAATTGAAATTTATTTTTAAACAAGTTTCCCTATTTCATAGTCACCTGTTGTTATCCTTGAAGAAAAACTTTTCCTTTTATTGTTCCTGGTAAAGTTAAAATCTCTGGATACCAAAACATAGCTGTGATCAAAGCAGAGGAGCAGAGCAGAAAGATCAAAACAGAGCAATAAAACAGAGTATCAATTGACAAAGAAAGTATCTTATTGTTATATTAAAAACCACAATTTAACACAAGGAACATTCTCACCACACTCGGAAACATCAAATATATATATTTGCTTATTCAAAACAAACGTTGCAATCATTAGTCACAAACATTTGTACTTATGCATCACTCGGAAAGTCCAAGACTTTATAAATCTCGAGGGCGTTGATAAGTGGGGGAAGAGTTGAGTTACCGGTCATGGCGAAAGTGAATTTGAATCTCCCATCTGGAGAACTCACGGCTCGTGGATTGAATATAGTTGTTACACTGAGTTTCGCTGGCCTAAAGAAGCTGAACCAGTTTAAGCCACCATTGTAAGTAATGTTGAACTCTCTGATCTCATTAGCTTCAAGATTCTGGATTTCGGCGAAATGCATGTATATATATGACTGTGCAGTGATCCCAGCGAGAGTCCACTCTAAGCTCAGAGCCTCACTAGGGTTTGCAGGGATCATAGCGGTTTTCGCCACGAGTTGAGGCACCTTGTACAAGTTACTTGTATCTACTTCAAGGTCCGTTCTTAACGACGACGTTTTCGCACCAACGTATGGCATCCAGACTCGGTCATGGATGTCCTCATCATACCTATAGTAAGGCGACAGAGAGAGAGAGAGAGGTTTCTTTTGTTAATTTTCAAACATAACATCAACTTTGTTTTGTGTGGTAAGTTTCCATTACCTGATGAACGATGGACTGGGTGAAAAGTAAACTCTGCTCACCAACATCAACGATCCAGTTTGAGTGACGTACGTTCCATTGTTCAACGGACGAAGTTCCAAGGAAGAAATAAACGGTGTCGTTACACCTGTTTTGACAAGACAAACTTGGAGACGGTCTTGTGTTAAAACATGGATGATCTCGCGGATTGAACCAGTTGCAACTCCTCGGATTGAAATAGAGGCCCATTTGGTAGAACCGATGTGAAGATCAAAGCTTGGGAGCTGATTCAGACCGTCGTAATTCCCATAAACAAAGGTTCCTCTGATTAGATATTTCTGGTTCCTTGTGAGGTTGAAGTTGTAACAGTTTCTTTCACCCTCAGGGAAACTTCTTAAGTTCCAAGCCTGTTGCTGAAATTGCGTCCTTAACGTTTCATCGATCTTCCCGACCACTCCACTGTCGATGTGATTCCCGTCTGATACGTATGTTATATTCGTCGTCTTCTCCGTATAAGTTGTGTCTTTGGGGACCAACCCACAATCCAAGCTGATGAATCCTGTTCATACAAATTTTAGTATTGAAGGTAACTTGCGGAGCAAGATATATATTTCATGGACCGTTTATAAACACAACCCAATGAAGTTTTTCTAAGATTTAACACAAAGAAACAAACTTTAAAAGAGTGCTTCAGCTACATATGAATTAAAGGCATCAACTGGAAAAAAAGAAGTAATAAAAGAACCTGATTGATCTTGAGATTGGGCTGATTGAAGAAAGGCAAAAGTTATGATCAAGAGGAGCAAAACCCCATTAAGAGTCTTCATTTTTATTTGATATGGTTGCTCTGTTCAAAGGATTGGACAAAGACGCAGAGATAACACCAAAGATATAAATGATTTTGAGTTCGAAAGGATATTGTAAACTCTGTGCTAAGTGTTCAACATTTATATCCAGATTTGTTTACTTGCCTAGGACTTTTACTACTTCTCTTGTGGAAGGGTTCAAATTAGAATTGGTAGCAGAAATTAATAAAAAACTACACATGAGCAAAGAAATAGAAAAACGACAAAGAGAGAATGAGTAAATCTTGTTTCTTGCAGTTGCTGAGTCTTACTCTGCTAAAAGGAACAACAACTATTAACCAATCCTAATTTTCGTTTATTTGTTAAATCAAATTTCCTCCTATTAAAAAAAAGAACTCAATGGGCATCATTTGGCGTTTCAAAAAGTCTCAAATGTCTTATTAGAATTAGTCTAAATTTTGCTGCATGACATGTACAGAAACTATTGATTATGGTTAGTTAATGAACACAATCATAGATATTTTTTTTCTCTTTTTTTGGGTTAAATAATCTTATAATTATCTCATTAGTTGTGTGCACTAGATGAAATTTATTATTTCAAAGAGTTATCTACTCCATTGACCTTCAAATCTTGAAGAAAAACGTTTACTTTCATTGTTGTAGAAAAAATCTTTGAATAATCAAAACAGAGGATCGGAGCAGCGTGATCACAACAGAGCGACCACCAGAGTATCGATCAAAGCAACAAAACATTATCTACACTAATCTTTTTGCTTCTTTACCACGTTTATGTGTTCAATATGGTCTTTCACTCTTTCTTTTGTGTATTGAGTTACAAAAGCTTACAAAGAAAAACTGTTCACAAATTATCATAATAAAAATAGTACGTAGTCTAAAAGATGACTATAAATAGGTTATAGGTTACTTATAGGTGTAGATCGTTTTTGGTTAAAACATGAATCTGGAGATAGTTAAAATATACAAATTATCATCGATCCTATGACAAACTCCCGTGAATCAGCATTCTATGAAAGGAAGAGAACATAATCAAATCTCAAAATCGACGTAAATAATATCTCTAACTACAGCTATATATCTCCACTGCCGCTGATTACATTTGTATATCTTAGTGGCTATGTTAGAGTCTCTCTCGAGAGAGTCCAAAAATATTGATCACCTTGTATATGCCTTCAATCTAAGCTTCTACCAAACACACAGAAATACAAATACTACATCTTGATTCCAAATATGTAATATTTATCGAGATTTCAAGAAAATTAAAAGATCATATAACAAAACAACAAAAACCTTTTTAATGTTTAAAACACTTTAGTAAATAGTAAGTGCATATTTGTTAAACACGTTAATTTATCATTAATCAGAACGTATCATGCTCGCATGTGATGTGATGAAACATTAGAATTCATACCCGCGCATGCTGCATTCACTGTCCCTAATCTGATCCACTTGGCAACATTGCCTCTACTCTACTCTCTTTTTTTGGTATTTGCAATTGCACTCAATCGTTTACTTTTTGGTATACATGAATGTTCCATTTTACGTTGTGACCGGCGGTGGATCACGGCCATGCACATGCCATCATATGTAAATTAACGTTAAACATCTTCAAATTAAGTACAAACGTAAAGAAAAAATTACTAACTAAGTTTTTTCTTTAATTGATACTTGATCTTTCTAAATAGGTAGATAATTACGCGTTTGATGATTCAATCAATGAAAAAATTGGCAATCTGCTTTTTATTAAATTTTTTTTTTTGTGTGTGTGTGTAGACTGTAGAAACGATGTACAAAGTGTGGCTAACCAAAAAAAATAAAAAATAAAATATACATCCTTAAAATTATTATCAGGATTGTCATTTAAAAAACCATATATATTTAAGAAAGTTTTATTCACAAAAAATATTATACTTTCTCTTTTTTTGGCTATCACTTTTTCTTGTTTAAGTTCGAGAGCAACTTGATCTAGCTTCAGATTGCTTAATAAAGTCATGATCACACTTTTTGGATCATTTTACTTCATCAAATTTCTTCAAAATAAATTTAATCTTTAAAAGGAAAAGTCAAATCACGAATGTCAAATTTTCCGAAACTACTTGCTAACCCTATGCATATAATGCCTATATAAATGAGAAATTAAATCATATGCTTTTCATACTTACAACATAAACCTTCCTCTTAATACAATCAATCATCACTAAATCAAAAATCAAAAACACGATAATGAATACTTTCAAAACCCTACCACTCCTAATTGTTGCGGTTAGCTTTCTGGTTATCGCATCCAACGCTCAAAACACTGCGCAAGACTACCTAAACGCTCACAACACCGCCCGTTCGCAGGTTCAAGTAGCGAACGTCGTGTGGGACGCAGCGGTCGCAGCCTACGCACAAAATTACGCAAACGCTAGGAAATCCGACTGCAACCTAGTGCACTCGGACGGACCGTATGGAGAAAACCTAGCCAAGGGAAGTAATGGCACGTTCACGGGCATATCGGCCGTGAATCTTTGGGTCAAAGAGAAACCTTACTACAACTACACTACCAATTCTTGCACAGGTATATATATCATCTTACTTCTTACACAAACACAATCTATATCCCTTATATCATTTTAACGAGGGGAAATATCAAATATTAAAATTGAAATTTTCTACTAATCTTCTATATAAAAAAAAACATTAACGACTTTTACTTGAAATTTTTATTTATCAAAAGCACGTACGATGATATATGTGTTGAGTTCACTCATTTTTGTTAAGGAGTTTTTATGTAATATTGTAGAGCTAATATATAGGTAATATAATAATATTAGTTTATGATTTTATCATTCTTATACAAACTGTAAACACAAAAAGATGTTTTGCTCTCCATCTTTGCTATGCTAATTGATTTCATTTACAAAACTATAGTAACTTTTTAAAAATATTATGGTGTAATTTGAAAATAAACAGAAAAATTAACGTGTAACATAAAAGCAAACGCAAATATTAATTGGGTGTAAGTGATTAATATAGTATTAATGACTTGTTGATAATTGAAAACTACAGGTGGACAATGCTTGCATTACACACAAGTGGTGTGGAGAAATTCAGTGAAAATAGGGTGTGCCAGGGTTCAATGCACCAATAGTCTTTGGTGGTTCGTGACTTGTAACTATGACGAACCCGGCAATTACATCGGAGAGTACCCTTACTGATTTTGATCACTTAATATAAATTACAATAAGAATAAATGATAATTATGAATAAGACGTAAAAAAAAAGTCATGAACTGATCTAATTAAAATTGCTGTTTCTTAAACAATTAAGTCTCGTTTAATCTCAAGATGTAATAATTTATGGTTTTCCCATAAAGAGGAGTGTTGCCTTCTTTTACAATTCATTAATCAAATATATTTTGTTCTTCCTTTTTTGTTCTGTTTATGTAGGGAGAAAGTTTGTTCTGCTCATAAAATACTATACACATATTTATTTTCCCTGTACGCAAAATATCAGAAGAACAAAATTAACCCGATCGAACTATACCTAACTAACATATTTTTTAGAGTTTTAGTTGTGAAAACAGAAAACGACTGGTTTATTCCTTAAGTTTACATAGGTATTCATACATCTATGGCTACGCGTACGCCTTTAACCGCTGCTCTGAATCTGTGATTGTGGTAAAGATGGTATGCTCAACACTCTCAAGAATGCATTTGGTGGCTGCCACCACAACTTTCTGTAGAAGATACGATGGTTAAGGAGAAATATATTCTATCATTACTACTTACCTTAAGTTTTGTGGTGTTTAGGTATATATCTGTACACACATTCATCTAATAATATTAAAGTATTATATTCTATATGATATCAGAGCCTTTCGATCTCTAAATCTAAAAACATAAAAATATTTTTTTGCAGCCTCCTCTTTTTTTTTTTTTTAAAATTCTCCGATCATGTTTTCAGACTCTCCGGCCATATCCGAAACCATTGCCATTTCTGATTCACCAAACATTCTCAACGTTAACATGACAAACGTTACCAAGCTAAATGTTTCCAACTTTCTGATGTGGAGTCTTCAGGTTCAAGTCTTGCTAGACGGGTACAATCTGGCAGGACATCTTGATAGATCTGTTTTTGCACCACCTCCTACACACACCACTGACGGGTCATCACCACCAACGCTGCCTATCTCCAATGGAAAAGGCAAGACACGTTGATCTACAACGCCCTGCTAGACGCCACATCCACAACCATACAGCCTCTCCTCTCGAAAACGACAACAGCCTCGGAGATCTGGGATACTCTCTCTTCCACCTACGCCAAACCAAGCAGGGGACACATCAAACAACTTAAGCAGCAACTCAAAAACTGGACTAAAGGCACAAAGTCAATTGATGAATACTTTCAAGGACTTACCACTCGCTTTGATCAGCTTGCATTGCTTGGAAAACCGATTGAGCACAAAGATCAAGTTGAGTTTGTCCTTGAAGGCCTCTCTGATGACTACAAGTCTGTGGTCGACCAAATTGAAGGATGTGACTCTCCACCGTTCCTAACAGAAGTACATGAGAAGCTACTGAACCATGAGACAAAAATACAACTAACAAGTGTCTCCCCCACAGTACCTCTCACCGCCAATGCTGCATCATATCGTGGAAACAACAACAATTTCCGCCACTACAACAGAAACAATAAGGGCAATCACAACAACAACAATTCAATCCTCGTCAGCAACACTACACCCATGCCCTTACCTCGGCAAATGTTAGATCTGTGGAACTACGGGACATAGTGCACGAAGATGCTCCCAATTTCAACAAGCTGTTGGTTCATACAAGCCTGTGAACAACTCTGTCTCCAATGCTGTTCCTTGGCAGCCACGAACTCACCTTGTAGCCGTACCTTACACTGCTTCCAACTGGAATATAGACTCCGGTGCAACTCATCACCTGACATCGGACTTGCAAAATCTCTCACTCCACCATCCATACACTAGAGGTGAAGATGTCACCATCGCAGATGGCAGTAGACTAAACATCTCACACACTGGTTTCACCTCTTTTTCCACTCCTTTGCGTCCCTTTGCGTTGAAAGATGTTTTATATGTCCCTGATATACAGAAAAATCTTATATCAGTCTATCGGATGTGCAATAATAACAATGTTTCTGTGGAATTCTTTCCTGCTAAATTTCAGGTGAAGGATCTCAGCACGAGGGTCAAATTGCTGCAAGGCAGCACTAAGAATGAGCTCTACGAGTGGCCGGTACATCCACCCAATCCGACCTCCTTTTTTGCCTCACCTATTTCCAAAATAGACCTTCATTCTTGGCATTTTCGCCTGGGCCACCAATCTCTCCCTATTTTAAAAGTTGTTGTCTCTAAATTTTCTCTGCCTATTTCGAATTCTTTACAAAAACAAATTCCTTGTTCTAATTGCTTAATCAATAAAAGTCACAAACTTCTATTTTCGACAAACACTATCTCTTCGACTCAGCCCCTTCAAATCCTATACAGTGACGTTTGGACATCTCCCATTGTCTCTATTGACAATTTCAAATACTACCTTGTTCTAGTTGACCATTTCACCCGATATACCTGGATCTATCCACTCAAAAATAAGTCCCAAGTTCGAGAAACATTTACCATTTTCAAGGCTTTGGTGGAAAACAACTTCAAGACGAAAATAGGCGCCTTGTACTCTGACAATGGAGGATAGTATATTGGTCTTCGTAGCTTCCTCGCCAACATGGCATTGCTCATCTCACTAGTCCGTCTCACACACCAGAACACAATGGAATATCCGAACGTAAGCATCGTCATCTGGTTGAAACGACTCTTACCTTACCAAGCCATGCTGGAATCCCAACAACATACTGGACTTATGCTCTTTCCACCGCAATTTACTTTATTAATCGCTTACCGACGGCAACTATGGAGAATGAATCTCCGTATCAGAAGCTGTTCAAACGACAACCCAATTATCTCAAGCTACGAGTGTTTGGCTGCCTCTGCTTTCCCTGGATTAAACCATACAACAAGCACAAATTGAAACCCAAATCGGTGACGTGCACGTTTATTGGTTATAGTCTGACTCAGAGTGCTTACTTTAGCCTCGACAAGGCCAGCAGATGAATTTATACATCTGGCATGTCCAATTCGTTGAATCGAAGTTTCCCTTTGCCCCCAGTTCTCCGGCGAAACCATCCCCTGTCTCCGAAGCTCCAATTTCTTCACCCGGACCCCTAGCCACCATCGTGCCACTGCCACTCGGTCAGACTCATTCTGCTCCACCCTCATGCTCGGAGCCTCACCTGAAATCGCCGGAAGCGCCACATGTGCCTCAATCACCATCGTCTTCTGTTCCCTCACACATCGTACAATCGTCGTCTTCAGTGCAAACACCGATTGAAGAAGACAATGATTTGGGCCACAAAACATATTTATTATCAAGCCCAGATTTGCTACCTCAGCCACAAAGCCCAAACCCAGCCCAACATCACCCTCACTATCAAATAGTCCACTAACATCAAGCTCACCAACATCATCACCCACAAATAGCCCACTATCATCAAGCCCACAAAACACAACATCCTACTCTTCACCATTGACTATAGCCCCGACGCCATCTCCCTCACCAGCAAAATCACCACCTCCGCCTCCAAAGAAACCACCACCCAAACTAAATCCGCGCAATCGACATGATATGCGTACCTGTGCCAAAAATGCAATTCTCAAACCTAATCCAAAATATGCGAACACTGTAATTTTTCACAAACCAACCATACTCAAAACCATGGCTGAGGCACTGCGTGACGAACGGTGGAGGCAAGTGACGTGTGAGGAGATTGACGCTTTAATTCTTCATGGCACCTATGTTCTGGTGGTGCCTGAGGATACATAAAATATTGTCGGAAGTAAGTGGGTTTTCACGATTAAATATCATCCTGACGGTTCTATTGACAGGTATAAAGCGCGATTTATCGCCAAAGGTTACAACCAACAGGCCGGAGTTGACTTCACCGAGACATTCAGTCCGGTCATCAAGTCAACAACAATCTGCTATGTTCTTCATGTTGCCGTCACACGCAATTGCAGCTTCCGTCAGCTTGATGTTAACAACGCGTTTCTGCAAGTTATCCTCCACGATGAAATCTATGTCGCACAGCCACCAGGCTTTGCTGATCGTGATAACCAGCACCATGTTTGTCGTCTCCAGAAAGCGCTCTGTGGGCTCAAACAGGCACCACGAGCATGGTATCAGGAACTCCGTATAGCCCTACTCAATCTTGGTTTCATAAACTCCCTTGCTGATGCTTCCCTGTTTGTCTATCATCTCGGAGATCAGTTTGTTTACATCCTCGTGTATGTAGATGACATTATCATCACCGGGAGCGACAACACTCTCATCCAACAGATTGTCGATTCCCTCTCCTAACTATTCCTGCTTAAGGATCTTGGAGCCCTGCGCTAATTTCTGGGTATTGATGTCACTCGCTCCACCACTGAACTTTATATGATGCAGAGAAAGTACATCACTGATCTCCTCCTAAAGACAAACATGAGCTCTGCCAAACCAATGTCACCAACACGGAAACTCACGCTGACCTCAGGGACTCAATTGGAAGATGCTCGTGAATACCGTACGATTATTAAGAGCCTTCAGTACCTCGCATTTACACGCCCGGACATTGCTTATGCTGTTAATCGGTTTTCACAGTTCATGCACTCGCCCATAGATCCCCATTGGAGTGCTGCGAAACGAATCCTTCGATACCTTGCGGGAACTCCAAATCATGGTATATTTCTCCATGCCGACACTCCTACGACACTTCATGGTTACTCTGACGCAGATTGGACAAAGGATACGAATGATTTTTTCTCCATTAATAGTTATGTTCTATACTTGGGAGACAATCCCATCTCCTAGTCATCTAAGAAGCAGAATGGAGTTGCCCGCTCCTCCACATAAGCAGAGTACCGTGCGGTTGCCAATGCTGCGTCAGCTGGATCTACTCTTTACTCACTGAACTTGGTGTCCATCTCCTTACATCTCCGGTCATCTACTGCAACAATATTGGCGCTACCTATCTTTGTGCTAATCCTGTCTTCCACTCCAGGATGAAGCATATCTCTCTAGACTATCACTTTGTGCGCAACATCATTCAATCAGGAGCACTTCGCGTCACTCACGTATCCAGTAAAGATCAACTCACAGACTCTTTCACCAAGCCTCTGCCACGACCTCAGTTTACTGCAATTAATCACAAGATTGGTGTCACTGAAATTCTTCCATCTTGAGGGGGCTATAGATGATACGATAGTTAAGGAGAAATATATTCTATAATTACTACTTATATTAAGTCTCGTGGTGTCCAAATATATATTTGTACATATAATCATCTAATAAAGGCATTACATTCTATACTTTCACCGCAAGAAAATCAAAATCATCATGCAACACATTAAGATTTGGATGGATTTATTACCAGAGAATGTAGAAACGGTTTAGATATAATAATTTATCATATAACTATTATGTCCATGACAGTGAAAACCGGCAAGATGTTCTATTCAATTCCACTTAGGAAGTGTAAAAATACGAAAAAATGATAAATGTTATGGTGTGAAGCATTAATTCAATAGAAAATTATGTGTAATATACTTTATTTGGTTTCAACATGAAAATAAATATGATTGAAATGGAGCGGGTAACATAGTAATAACAATTCATAATATTAATCTCTAATCAAACTTGAAATTAAATCGTTCCGTACAAGTAGATTTGGGATTAAAAAATGGAGAGAGTCGATCCATAACAAAATTATAATACGTTGTAGTGATACTGCGCAAATGCTAGTAGCACTAGCACCTACTATAGAGCAGCTTTATATCGTCTATATATCTTTTCTTTTGAACGACATGAAGCGGATAGTGTTGAAACTTACAGTAAATGTATGTGCAACCATAAGAGAAAGTTATTAGCCCTCATCATCTATCATGAGCATATATTAGTAGTTTGTAGTCATAACAACAACATAAATCAAACTTTCTGATCTTAATTTTGTCTTCTCTTGGATTATTATTAATCAGTGTAAATCATCTATCATGGTTATTTTTACAAACAACTTTGTTATGATTAGGGAAATAAATTTAAAAAAAAAAAAATCCATTCATTAGGGAAAGAGACATTCCACTAGAGTTATATATCTTATTAAAATCTCAAATTTAATATCAAATCGACAGTTTGGCCGAGTGGTCTAAGGCGCCAGATTTAGGCTCTGGTCCGAAAGGGCGTGGGTTCAAATCCCACAGCTGTCATTTTTTTTTGTTTTCATTTCTCTAATATACTCATTTGAGGGGGTGTATTTTCGTATTTTCATCAAGTTTCTGTAGTAGTTATTGTCGAACGAATTTGGGGTCACTTGATCAAGAGGTGCTAGAGTCGTATCTCCACCGACAGCGACGCTTTCTTGTGCTGGAGAATCCTTACGCATTGAGCTTGCCCTAAGGTATTAGCTCCTGTAAAATGTTGAATGTTCTTTACTTTGATAATAAAGATGTTACAAGTAGAAACATCAAGTTGCCGCATCCAGAACAAGATATCGGAGAAACCCGATTATTTTGCTTCCAGAACGATTAAAGCAAACTATTAGGGATGACTGTCCAAGATCCAGTGAAACCAGAACCTATCTTGATAGCGACCTGAAGAAAGTTATTGAAATACTTTTTATTACCAAATAGTCATATTATTTCAAAAGTTCTTACCAAATAATCATATTTTATTATCTGCTTTGCTCTAGAGATTTCGAATATGGAGCGAGAGGTATCATCAGACACATGTACATCTCATACATTATTACTGATCGGTTTCTTTGCAAACTCAACTAACTGAGTGAGTTGCTCAGTCATGGCAGGGGCAATAGTAAGAGAAGAGAAGAAAATTATATCCGTAGTGGCAAGTCTGTATTGGATTCCACACAAGTCTGTATTATAGGTTCAAAATGTTAAACTGAAGCACAGCTAAATCAAAATATCAGATCTGTCGAATTACGTATATGCATCAGGAACAGCAATAGTCACATTAGAACCAAAAATATACTGCAATCAAGAAACATTGCTCATTCGGTTTACGTGACAGTGAGAAACAAAAAACACTGCAAACACTGCTTAAACCTGGAGCTGGAGCAGGAGACTTAGGTATCAGCACAATCAGATTCAAAAATGGCATATTCAAGGTCTCTTTTTCTAAGATTTTTTTTTCTTTTAACAATCTTTTTTTAGAATTTTGTATGCGTATATATTGAATTACACATAATTTTGCTTTAAAGAATATAAACTATTCTCTATACGCATCCACAAAATAGATGGCTAAGAACTATTTCAATCTTGATCATCAAGGTGTTAGGAGTTGGATCTCAAATTCGATTTTTAAAAATAGTGAAAAACAAGAAAACATAACGTAAGAACCTTTACAAAAAGAATAATGTTGGAAGAGGTAGTGCGGCTTAACCTAACTTAGAAGCTGTTAGTTTTTTGGATTTTTGCCACATCATCAAATTGTAAATTAATTTCTTTAATTAGATTACAAATAGCTATAGTAACTAAAGATATTGCCACGTTATTAAATTATAATGTTTACACATTACTAATCGTATCTGCATAAATTTAAATATGTGATATTAAGTCTGCTATAACATTATTCAAAAAGTCTGTTATACATAAACCTGTTATCATATAAACGATCCCAAAATCAAAAAAAGATTTATATAAGTTTGTTGTATCTACTACTCTAAAAAACTGTTATCAAATAAGTTAAGTGATGCAGAAAATAAATATCTGTTACAACATTAAAATAAGTCTACTATTATGATGATGCTAATCTAGTAATTCAGTTTTAAAATAAAATAAGTCTTTTAATGATAGCAGACTAATACAAAACTAACGATAAGTCTATCATCATTCAGAACGTAAAATTTAAATCTGTTATCAGTTATCACTCATATACATATTAGTCTATCGTGCAAAATATAAGTATGTGAAATAAGTCTATTACAAAAAATTAGTTTATTAAAAATAAGTAAATCTATGGTCAAAACATAACAAGTCTAAGAAATAAGTTTATCAGCAAAAATACCTTTTCTCTGAAAAAAGTATATTGCTTCATATGAGAGACTTATTGATATAAGTCTATTATTCTGAATAAATCTGTGACAAAAGTGTACTGCTAAAAATAAGTATGTTTATAAAATTAAGTATGTCATCATACATTAGCAGTTCTGGTACAATAGATTTTTTCGAATATAATGGCATTTTTCGTAATTATTAACTATTTTTTGCTGAGTTAGAAAAAAATAATAATGGCATTCTTGTAAATATGATTTTTCATAACAAATGATTAATGGATATTACGGACACAAAAATTTAGTCAGTAAAAAAAAAATTAAAAGCTAATCTAGTAATAAAATAATAAATTTGTGCTATATGTGTAATCTTCCCTAATAATAATAAAAGCAAAAATACCGAAGATAGTACATGTTTAGTTAAGTTAAACATTACTAAAAACTTGTCAACAATGATAGTTTGGCCGAGTGGTCTAAGGCGCCAGATTTAGGCTCTGGTCCGAAAGGGCGTGGGTTCAAATCCCACAGCTGTCAATGATTTTTTTTTTTTTAGTTTTCGATTTCTAAAAAAGTGAAAAATTAAAAAATATATCTTTTTTCATTCGAGTCAAAACAGTAATTGAACCGATTGGTCGGTGCCCAAACATCTTTCATTCTCCCGTCCTTTAAGTTTGTATTTGTACGAATGAAACTTTGTAGATTTCTGCTACATCACTCAACCAATATATGAAACTTACAAATTTAGATTGGTTCATTGAATCATTTTTTGGATCATGGGTTTTATGCATTTTAACTACTAGGCTACAGTGGAGAACAACAAAGCAAATGATATGGACCGGGACGAATCCTAGTCACTTATTGAACGACCTTGTTGTACCTTATCTTTTAAGAGTTCTTCATTACAAGTCTCATAAAAGAAAACACTAAGAGAAAAGAAACGATACAGAACGAGTAAGCGAATTTTGCAACAGCTTTTCAACCTTGACAAGGATCGATCTCCACCATCCAACCTTTGGTATCTTCAACAAGACCTGTTTGAATACTCGTCAGCATCGAGTGAAGCTTCGTGCACAACGCTGCTTCTCCTGTCCTGAACTTTACCCTGTGGTCAAAGGCAGACATGACCCGAGGTATCAGCACTATGTAACCCAAGAAAGATTTGATTGTTAGGGTCTTTATATCTGCAAAATAGAAGAAACTAATTACTTCTTGTCATGGAAGGTCACAGTTTCAACAGCTTTCACGACCACTGCAGTTCCCGTGCAGAAAGCTTCCTCTGCTTCTAGGAGCTCCTCCACAGAAACATCACGTTCTTGAACCTGTGATCACATTGTGAACTACCTCCTCAGAGTCTATATATATATATATATATGAAAGGGTATAACTATATAGAGTGAATTAAAAATTGTTGCAACCTGGTAGCTGAGATCACGAGCTAGCTCGATTATGCTTTTCCTTGTGATTCCTGGTAAAATGGTTCCTGAAGTTGGTGGTGTGGACACAATGTTCCCCTAAAAATTTGAATGATTACTACGAAGTGTATAAAAATCTTCAGTATTAGATGTGATAAGCCTTTGAATCTCATTATTTACCTTGACAATAAAGATGTTACAAGCAGAAACCTCTTCGATGTTTCTACCAGTTGCCGAATCCAGGAACAAGACATCAGAGAAACCCGACGACTTTGCTTCGACCATCGATTTCACAACCTTTTCAAAATTTATACAAGAAGAAATCAGAGAAAAACATATATATATTCCCTAAACCTGTTGCCATGGATGAAATGTTTCTGGTGTCTCTTTACTTACTGGAGAATAGTTAGTGCAGCTCTTGACACCGCCCGTTCCACCCGAATGGGCTCGGTGATACTTATGATCAACTTTTAGGTTCAAGCCTGAGCTTACCTGAGAAAAAACCGGCTTAACCATTTAACGAGTCTTTTTGGCAGAGTTTGCTTCAAAAACAGCAGCACAAAAAATCTAACCTTGTGGTAATCTCCTACGGGAGATGCGTAAATGAGGAAAGTGTACTCAGGTGATGGAGCAACTCCAAGTATAGCGCCACTCCCTATTAGCAAAGGCCTTATATACAAAGCTCCTTTACCCGGAGGAGGAACCTAAAACCAAATAAAAAAACCAAAAAAACATAACAACACACTTTTAGAAACTTGTAGAGATCAAGAATCATATCTGAATAGAGAGACATTGGTCCATAGTTCATAGTCCATACCCATTTCTTGTTGGCAAGCACGGTTTGCTTAACTGAGTCGACGAATTGCTCCAGAGAAGGTGGTGTCATACAAAGCCTATCCGCACCTGTTTGCATACGACGAGCGTTTTCTTCAGGTCTGAAAAGCCTGATCCGGTCGTCTTCTGTCCTGTAAGCTTTGAGACCTTCAAATAGTCCCTACAAAGCCAAACGCATAGAGGAAAGTTTTCTCTCAAACACTAAAGTTCAAAGCTTTTGCTCTTTTATACACTCAAAGCAAACAACTTTACACAATCTTCATTTTTCGCCCCTCAATAGTTTTTGATGAAAGCGTCTAACTAATGAATCATCGCAAGGTCTTCTCTCAAATCCTCACATGCATGTACATAAACACTAAAGTTCTAAACTTTTGCTCGCTCATACACTCAAATAAAACAGCTTTACGCAATCTGCGGATCATTTTGCGCCCTCACTAGTTAATGAATCATGCTCTAATGAAACCCAAAAGTCCTATAATCCAGTGAGATTCAGCAAGCTTGCACAACCATATAAGTGATTGTAAGAACAAAACCTGGCCATAATTGAGAATCGGAGAACAAGGGCTGATTGAAATGTCCCCATAAGGAACAATCTTTCCTTCTGAAAAACTCTCTCCTTGTCTGCATTTCGCCACATACATGTAATCTGTCGGAGTCAGAGTGAATCCAAGCTCTTCCCATTTCACATTCGCGTATTTTTCATCTCCTTCACTGTTTTAAATTTCAATGCATGCCACCAAAAGTTATAAAAATCACACAAATGAATAAAATAGTTATAAATAAACGACAGGAACAAACACGAGATACCCAGATCAGGAGATTCACGACTTTAATGAAAAAAAGAAATCTTTTTTTTCCAATAAATTTTCATGAAAGGTTGATGATTTTATTAACCTTGTACGAAGAGGTGATGAAGAAGGCTGCACAGATGGAGCCATGGAAAGAGGAAGACAAAGAGAGAGAGAGAAGTGAAGTGAAGCGAAGCAGAGGCTTAGAGCGGTCACGTGCTTTAGGAGCGGCTTATCACGCGTCGTTTTATAGCGACAACAAACAAACCCTTTGATTCCTTTTGTCTTTCGTATTTTGTTTATATTCCCTTTACACACACATGACTCGTAGAATCTTCAAACTATAAAAAGGCTGATGGCTAAAGACTAAATAAACTAAAGTTGCCGTTCTTTGTTGAAAAGATGTGACCGGTCTTATTTTCAAAAAAAAAAAAAAGATGTGACCGGTCTTTAATTTATGAGACATTGTTGAAACTAAACCATGGCTCTATTTGTTTTTTTCGACGTTATATATACTTGTGTTTTTTTTTTGAACATTAAATTTTCAAAGGACCCAACAGAACCATTGAACCCAAGTAGAAGCCCAATAACATATAAGAGGACCATAATTTTTGCCGAGTGAAGAAGAAGCTGAGGAAGATTTGCCGAAACCAGATGGGGAAGCATTTTGTTTCAATCGTCCCTTCGATCCAGATTTCCCGACGAGAGAAACCTTCAACGGCAACCAGATCCATCTAATTTCAACCTGATAAAATCCAAAAGAAGGACACCACTGGCAATTTTGAAGCACCAGAGAAGCTTAGGAGAGGGGAAATATAGAGCTGGATCACCTCACTAGCTGCTTCGTTATTTTGCTCTCGAGAAGCTGAATTCATCTTTTCCGGTTTACTGCAGAAAACTTAACCTTTAAGCTTTTCTGGACATTTCCCCGTTTCTTACGGCGGAGGATTCTGTTGCCGGACTCTCGGCTTTGAAGACTTTTTTCCGGTGTCTCTGTTTTTTTTTAGAAGCTCAGTCTCTGTGAATCTGACTGTGAGCGACATCTGTTCGGAATTGGTTTTATGATCTTAGCGATCCGCGTCGTCTTCTCTCTGGATTTGATTGCCATTCTTTAAGCTACTTGCTGCCAATTTGACGAACCTTGAATCTGGTTTTCTTGCTCCTCCAACTCACGTGATCATTCTCGTCATCACGTGTAAGTCACCTTCTTCTCCCTAGAAACCCTAATTTCTGGGCCTCTGCACATTCTCTGGATCTATGATCGATATTTCGAAACACGCTGGATTGCGAGTCTTTCTTTTGTACCTTATGACTCTTTTTACTTGCTCTCAGTTCTACGTTTGAGGCATTTTCTATAACCTTCAAAGGGTTGCTCATCTGTTCTCTAAACTCTTCTTTCGTCAATTTCGCAGGCTTTATGCCTAATCAAACTGTTCTCAGGGATTTAGTCTAGTCAGCTTCTCTGCTTTGCTAGTTATATCTGTGAAGGAACACAGCCGTTGAAGCTATGTTATCATCAAGGTTTTCATTTTTGGGGATCGGCAGTACTAGCGACGTTAATGACTCTTCGGGTGTTCCTGGAAGCAATCTCAAACCGACTCTAAGTGTGCAAACGGATAAAGATGTGTACAGGCCTGGAGATTCCATTTTTGTAACTATTGAGGTTGGTTATCCTCCTGTAAATGATCATGGGAACGGGTCTAATCCCTCGGTTTTGGTTGAAAAGCTTAGTTTTGAGGTGAAAGGAGTAGAGAAATTGGACATTCAGTGGTTCTCTACTCAAAATCCATTACCAGGAAGCAAAGGACGAAGAGGTATTCAGGGAGCTTTTTGTTACTGAAACTGTTATATGTTAACGCCATTCATGAGATTGCTAGATTGTTGATGCTTTTGAAAATCTTCATGTTACTCGTGTAGTCAGTCATACATACGCATATTGTATCTGGTTAAATTCCTTGGTCTGGCCTGTGAGGATGAGTATAGGAATTAAAGTAAAATTATTGAGAAAAAAAAAAATCCAGGGGGAATTTATGAAACTTAGCTGCCTCCAGAGGTATATACTAGTTCAGTACTTGCACCAGTGTTATATTACAAGACATAAGTGCTTCAGTGTTATGTATTTTCCTGGATTCTCACAAGACGATACTAAGTTCTGTGCCATCTATGTGTACTTTTGTAATGTGCTAATCATATACTTTGCTGAAAACTTTCAGGTGAACACATCTTCCTAGACAGTTCAACACCATCCTTGATTTCAAATCAACTCCTATCTCCTGGTGCTAAGATGACATGTAATCTTGCTTGATTCCTTTCTTGAATATGAACAATAACATAGACTATGCTTGATGCTGACGGCCAGGGTTTACAGTGCCAATCTTTAAGCTCACAGGGTTCTTTGTTTGTAATTTCCATCTACAGTAATGGTTCGAGCTATACTCCCAGAGATTTTACCACCTTCTTATAAGGGTGCTACTTTACGTTACCATTACTTCATCAAGAGCACATTAAGCGGAAGATTGATGCCATTAGAAAACAGTCAATTTTACAAAGACTCGCCAAAAGATTTTATGAAAGTGGTTAGTTTACTGGACTTCCCATGTTCTCTTTAGGTTCTATAGGTGCAATACATTGTGTTTTGTTTACTCCGGTTGCTCGAATGCGTTATATAATTAATTCTCTTGTGCAGAAAACATATAAAGTGGAATAAACCGAAACATTTGTGGATCTCTTGTAGACTTCATTCTTATAGAATAGAGTGTAAGATTGATACACAATGTTTCTTACTATAATGCTAAACCAGACGTCCCTTGGTTTCTAGCCTTTTTTGATGCCCAATTGACAAGAGATTCACACGACTTTGTATGAGTCATTCAACATTCTTAAATCATCTAGCTTGCTGTTTCTCTGTGGCGATGAAATTGAGATGCACCGGATTTCTGTGAAAAGTATGAGGTTTGAAGCATAGGTTAGTCTTAGATGTTCTTGGAAAAAACATCGGGGTCACATGTACGTACTTTGTTTTCTTTGGCCGATTTCTCACTGGAGTGAGCTTAGTAGTTCGGTCAATTGATTATAGTATCTATTTAATCAAGTAGAATTGATGCTTTTCTGATTTGGCAACATGTTAATATTTTTCCCGGATGCCATGATTTTGGTTATGTGCTATACTGAAATTCAGTTTACATTCCTCCTATATCATGATGTTTGATAGAATATATAAAAGTGAATGCATTTGGTGTTATTGTATTATCCATTTTCTCCTTGGAGTCGGCATAATATTGACACCTGTAATCCTGTTTATATTTACCAACAGGAGACTCGAATCCCAGTACAAGTATGGGTAATTCAGAAGAATAACGGGTTGCTATTAGAGGAAAGTCAAACCGATGGTAAGCTTTGTTCTAAAGTTTGAATTGGGAATTTGATATCAGGTTTCAAACTGTCTAAATAAGACAACAAATTACGGAACGTAGGAAAGTTTTTTTTGTTTCCTTATATTTGGACGGCATTGGCGGTGCAACCTGATGGGGAACTTTTTTTTTTTTCTCAGGGATTGTTCCAACCACTACAATTCAGACAGAAATATACTGGAAAGAGATGGATGGAGACTCAGAATGGGTATTGATTTTACTGTTTATTTTCTTTGTTATTACCTTTTTAAAGTATATTGGTTTCATTTGCATACTGGTCAACATAATAACAAGTAACCAAATGCATTTAATGCAGACAAGAGCAAATGACCCGTATGAAAGTGGTGAGGAAGGATATGACAGTTCACGCGATGATATCTTGTCTGTTTCTTCCTATCCCAACAAAGGAAATTTAAACAGAGCCTTTGGGAGTTCATTGTCCTTGAATTCTGGACCTCGATTATCAATGAAAGACACATCATATATTGAGGAAGGTGTCGGATCATCTCCAAAAATGATACTTCCTCAGTTATCAGCTGCCGTAGTGTCTTATGATTCTGGAACTGGTAAGTGTTTAATGTGCTTGTAATTGCCTAAACCAGCACTTTTACTGAGTCACTGAGAGTGACACCACTTCATGTAATCCCTCTGTTGTTTGCCGAAGAGGTTGTAAAAGGCTTACCTCGTCAACTTAAGTGTTTCTGTTTTCAGTAGAACGCTGAATTCAAACGAATTCTGAGAATACCACTGTTCCCAAATACCAATAATAGTTGGAAGATACTATTTCGGGGAAATATCATCATCTACTTTGTTTATTAGCTCTATAATATTGAACTGGTGAGCAAGGAAGGGACTACTGAAGAATGCTTCCATTTTTTTCTTACTAGATGGCTTTTCGCCTGATAAATCATCAAATTCAGGGATTCCGAGCCAACCCAAGGAGACAAATGGCTCAGGAGCATCTATGTCACCTGAATCTGGAGCTGGAGAACCCGTTCCATGTAAACTTATTTATTCTCTTAACCTTCTCCCATTTTGTACTCTTCGTTTTTCTTTTGACTCTGCATGTAGCTACTTATCTAGTGCAATCATTTTTCTTGCAGCAGAAGGATTTACACGAGGAAAATCTTACAACATTAAAATGGATGACCAAATCCTTCTTAGATTTTCCCCGAAGAATGCGGACTCTACTTGTTACTTCAGCGATACTGTAATGGCAGTTTCAATTGTAATTTCACATTCTTACAAAACATTTCCTTCATCTTATAACCGTTTCTTGGAATGGTAATTGTTTGTAGATTGGTGGAACTCTTACTTTCTTCCATGAAGAAGGAGCCAGAAGATGCCTCGAGGTAAATCCATAAAATACAAAACTTGGAATGTGTATGCTGAAGTTAAGACTATATTAAAGGTTGAATGAATTCAATGATCGATATATGTTCCCAGGTCTCAGTTACCTTGGAAACGATAGAGACGGTAAATAGAAGATTTGTTCATCCGTCGAGGAGGAATTCTCCTAAACTTTCCAAGGTACAAATGTAGCTCCTTGTTTATTCATTTTTCTACTATTAGTCTTTAGATGCTACGTCTCTGCTATGGAGATCTTTACTACCAGAATGTTTTCTTTTACTAATGTGATTTTATTTTTCAAACAGGTCCAAAGCGATCACCATGAGGTGGTGGCCGACCTTATTCAGACAAGCTTTCTGTTTTCAATTCCCACGGATGGTCCAATGTCATTTACGACACCCCGTGTTTCTGTGCAATGGATTCTACGGTTTGAGTTCCTAATCACCCCGAAGGATGTGGACTTAAGCAGGTATTACGCCCAATACACACTTTCAGTATCTGTTTCAGTCATATTTTGATATGCTCAAGTTGTTGAAGTCAGTTTCTGGTCCTGTTTGGTGTTAATTGTGCAGGTACGAACATCCGTTGTTGATCCCAGAACGGGAGAAAAGCGAGTGGGTTCTACCGATTACGGTACACGCACCACCTCCTCGGACATCAGCTACTCAAAACCGAGGCGATAAGCTCTTTGGGTTGGAGCCTTCTTGGATCCGTAGCTAAACCCCCACGATTTGATAAGATTCGTTTCGGTAAAGAGTTTCTGGTCCCTTGTGTAGCTCACCACATGGCGTTATTAATTTTCTACTTTGTAAGGGGAAGTTTACCACTAACCTTACTTTTTTCATTTTATATATAAATACTAGTTTAGAAATTATTTTCTGGTTAGGCTTTTTGATTCTTCTTTGAGATGTTGAATCTCTTAACCAAAAATGGTTTCTTATTGAAGGGGTGAACAAAATAATCTGAATAAGTTAATGCTTGGAATTACAACTGAGCTAATACGCAGCCGTTTTTGTGCGAAACTTTCTGATTTTCTACCTATGCATCATCCATGGGGCGTTGAGAAAACGCTCTCGAAGTCATGATTAACGTTAGGCTCGATCCCACTGTGAAGCAGAAAACTCGAGTTTAACGAATGTCAAATGCCACATTATATATAACATAATCGTGATTACTTACATAAGCGTAAAAACGAAAAACAGGGTGTAATACTGACCGATGTTTTCCGTTGAAGGTAATAAAATTATAAAAAATTCAATTACAACTTTGATTATTCTATAGGTTTCGTCTTCCATTAGATCTGACATAAAAATGGAAATCTGGAAAAGAACTTGAAGAAATGATACAACACTGAGTTCTACAATATGATGTAACAAATGTGAAAACCACAGAAAAAAAGGAAGGTAAATAAGGTTTTGTAACAATAAAATTTAAATCTAACAAAACTTAAAATTTTCTTCAGAAGCCAAAAGGTGACTTAGTCCTGCTCCCTCCTTCACCATATTGCTCGTTCCATTTTCTCAGCTCATTCATTGTCGTCGCATCGTATGCCACCGAAGGGCTCACCTGCAAAACCACATCCCCAATACATATGATCACAATCACATCTTTGCGGTTTGAATCAACCCATCGATAACAAGGCAAAAATCCTTTAAAAAAAAAGCAAACTCAAGAAATAAATATTCATCGTGCACTGATGCAACTAAATACCTTAGCTTTAGACTGAATGAAGTCATCCAAGCTCAGCGGCCGTAGACCAGGGGACGCATCCGTTCTAGCACCCTAAAAGAGACAAAAAAGGGCAAAGCATCAAGTAAAAAGCTGTGGAAGCGACCAGTCTATGTCCTTTACTCAATCTAATGTTTTCTCTCTCTACCTTTTGTTCTTCTTGTAACAGTTCTTGAACAGGTCTGTACGCAGCAGCAATGCATAGATTCTGCAAACATACAACCCACAAAAAAAGAAAGGAGATTAAGATGAAGAAAAGAGCTTACAACAAGCTGGGGTCTGAAAGCGAATACCAACCTTCAAATCGCTACCGGAATAACCTTCGGTTTCCTTTGCAAGTTTGTCGAACTGAAAACCGGATTCTAGATTTTCTGGAGTGAGAAATATTTTCAGTATCTTTAACCGGTTCTCAGCATCTGGTAAGTCCACATATATCCTAGAGTTCACAGGTAAAAGCAATCTTTCAGTCAAACGAGGATTCAACAGTTAACAATATCTTCACACAAAGGCAAATGAAAACACAAAACAGGCTTTACCGTCTTGGTAGACGACGAATGACAGCATCATCAAGATCAAAAGGACGGTTGGTGGCACCGAGAATGAGGATTCTTTGGCTGTCTTTTGACCTGAGCCCGTCCCAAGCTGCCATGAACTCATTTCTCATTCTTCGAGTAGCTTCGTGCTCCGAAGAGCCACCACGAGCACCTAACAAACTGTCGATCTATCAAACGAACAAACATCCCCGTCAGTTATATTTACTGGAGAGTGACAGCCATAATTCAACCCTGTGAAGTATGGACATACAAAATGAAACTTAGACACAATATTCTCACCTCATCGACAAAAATAATAACAGGTGCTAGCTTGGTGGCAAAGGAAAAGAGAGCCTTAGTGAGCTTTTCTGCATCTCCGAACCACTACGCCAAACAAGGAACCGAGGTTATGTAGAGTAACATCCCATTATATAATTATTTGGAAGAGAGATACGAAGGTATGTGAAATCATGTATCGTAGTGTGTCCCAAAAACCACATTTTTAACTACGAAAAGTGCATTAATACAGGCCCTAGGGGTTAAGCATAATCTTCAAGTCATTTAATCATCCTTCTTAATTAATTAAATCACACACAAACAATAAGGAGACACTGACAAACGATATAGTCCATGTACCTTTGATGTAAGTGTTGAGCCAGTTATGCTAATGAAGTTTGCTCCAGCTTCTGTTGCAAGAGCCTTGGCAAGGAGTGTCTTACCCGTTCCAGGAGGACCAAAAAGCAATATTCCTTTACAAGGCTGGCAAAAAAAATCTCATGTCATTAAACAAGAAGTAACTGACATATGGAAAGAGAATAATGCTATGTAGCAAACAGAAGAGTGTTGTCATACCCGCAAGAGATTTCCGCGGGAGAAAAGCTCTGGCCTCCTCATGGGAAGAATAACCAACTCATTCAATGCCTTTTTCACGTTTTCAAGAGCTCCAATGTCTTCAAATTTGACGCCTATTTCTCCAGGAGCAACCACAGCCGAGACAAAATTCCGTTCATACTCATCGTTTGCAATATTCTGCAAGAAATTGTCTCTTTTAACACTATTTATTACTCAAAATATCCAAGATCCACTTTGACCCAGAATCCAATGGCAGGGAAACTGACCTTCAAGTTCTGCGAGGTCTTTAGGGAATTATCTTCTAATTTTCTTAACCTCGCAATTGAAATCTCAAGGCTTGAAAAAAAGGAGAAAAGTTACTACGATAACAAAATAAAAAACTACAGATCCACAATATAAAGCCACACTCATGCATACCTTTCACGAGGCAGAGACAAGCGGCCTCCTTTAACCAATGGTTCTGGACAGGAAGCTAGATAATGATTTCTGGCCCAGCCAATAACTTTCTCTGCTTCTGAAAAAACAAACGCCACAAGTATCTGAGCTCCCTTTGTCACGCAACAACGAATAGAAAGACGCAGATATCAAATGTAAACCAGAAGGAACTGGATCCACTCCTAACTAATCTAGCCACAACATTATCTAACTTCTTCTAACAAGCAGTTCTAGGGAAAATTTGAGGACTATGTGTGTGTGCTCCTGCTCTCGAATATTTCACATTAGTATCCCATTAACCCGATTCTTGCCATAGCGACAACTGCCACTGTACACGATAGAGAGAAAACACCAGTCTAGGGCAAAGGAGTGCTCAAACTCTCCATCAGCAACTTAATATATACAAAATAAACCAAGTAGTTCATCCTGAGTTACGCACTTTGCTTTGTTAATATCACGCCATCGGTGTTCACTTGGTATAAGTCTGTGCATAATAGCTCATGTTCTTCAAGTGCCTGGGAAATCAAACATTGAGATACAACGCTTAGCGAAAACATTACAAGTTTGACTCGGTTTTTCATTGAACTACATCTAGGTACCTTATGTAACTCATTTATATTGCTCCGTGATATCACAATTCTCCTATCTTCTCCAAGTTGTTTCTTGAACAGTCGGAGGGTATCTTCTTCCTGCACCAAAATTTTACAGGAAGTAATTCTTAAGAACTTGTTCGGAGACAGTCATATGAATTTTCTAGAAATATATAAAAGCCAGTCATAGATGGTTGATTCCCACGATGTGTCATAAGAATGGTGATCATCTGTAGTACCAGAAAACCAATTTGGCATTATGTGTTTATGCCTCCTAACTTTAACATGCATCCTTGATGAAACAACTAATGGAAGTAGCTTATGCTCTGCATGCTTTGCTAAGTAGGATAGCACGTGACAACGGAGCTTTGCAAAAGCATACATCTGATGACTCATAGATGAATGTACCTCTTAAAGAGACTTTGGAGAAGAGATATTGTCCTTATTCATTGTTTACAGTCATGCAGGAACACTTAATTGTAATTGTGATCAAAAGTTATCATAACATTAGGCATACCTTTGGAGGATGTAGGCGCATAACATTAGAGAAAAGCTTGTATATCTCATTCTCCTCTGATCTATTCCTTCCCGTTAATCCCTCATTTAGGCACTTCAAGGGACGAGGCTGTTGCAAATTATATAGAAGAACATGACTAATTCATAGCTGCCATTTAACAGGTTTTCAAGATGTTGAATAACTTGCAATCATAAGAAGTGCACCAAGACAATTGCACCATGATTACAAAAAAATTAAATATATTACTTTAGTGTTTAGCTTACCAGTTTCGCAAGCTGGCTAAAGTTTGGCAGTACCATCGTCTGTTTACAAATAAAAAAATAATCATCCACTGATCAGGAACAAAAGCCGAACAATAACCAATGACGAGTGAGAGATGTTGACAGGCTTACGAATTTCTCTCTTTCTTTTGAGCCTGTTTCTATATTGTTCTGCCCACATATCATAACAATCGGACCTGATAATTTATTAAACATTTCCTGAACTCTGTCTACAAATTCCTTTCGTCTTGTTTTAGGCACAGCTCTAGACAACCACTGCGAGAAGTCTGGAAAATAGACTATAAGTGGTTGAGTGGACTCCAAAACCTACAAAGACAGAAAAACAATGGATTAACTGTAGCGGACGGTACGGATATACTTGTCATCACATCAATAAATACAGTCCACAGTTCAGAAATAGAGTCAGAATTGCAGGCATTCAAGATTTTGAAAACAGCTGGGAAGTTTCACGTTATGGTGCTGGAACTTGGTCAAAGTTATCAACACACCAGTGAATAAATTAAGTGGAAACCTTCACGCGAAAATGTTAAAGCTAAGTCTACTGGCAAAACAGAGCATAGCTTATACACAAAAATCCAGTCAAACTAAAATCAGAAGTTATGAGCATTTGGTACTGCTGGAGATTTTAGCTTTTACAACATGAAGATTCACAACTTACACCTAAATATTTATAGCTGAAAATTTCAGCATGAGAAACGCCAACAACAAAAGTAATGGTAACATCCAAATATACCTCATTTAACGCCTCCATGGCAATGTAGCCATCTACTGCCTGCATATCCAAGTCGTGTTTGAGGTCTTTAACTGCGTAGAGAAATATATATTACTTAGCTACCTTTAAATATGATGTCAAGCATCTTTATACATAGCGATTAATTCTCCAGATTGACACAAATGATCAACCAGACGAACATTACGAAGTAATTATACCATCTACCCAGTGGATAGGTAACATCTGGGGGTGCTCTGCTGGCTTTTTCTCACTTCCCTCTGATGTTTTATCGTCGCCACAATCAAATATGACCGCAGCACGTTTCCCGCTCACCTCGTATACCTCTCCACGTTGTCCGCTAGACAACGGCCTGCAAGAGTATAAACTCTGGTTAAAGACAAAACATAGGACGTCTTTTAAACATGTCAAATTTTGTCTGAGCACTTCGAGTTCAATATATGTTGCAAAGTAGTGCACAGAGAATAGAATGTCACATTTGCAGGCAAGTCCAATTACAAAAACTACACATGGCATACTGTCTTTAGAAATATCAACATCATGAATGAAGGTATCTGATGATGATATTCACAGCCAAAAAAATCCCATTCATATTAATTAACAAAGACGTGACTGGAGACTTGTGAATGGCATTGTACATCTGGGAAGAATCATTTCTAGAGAAACTATGATGTAGAGAGGGAACTAACGAACACAACAGGAGGCAATAACTGTAAAAGAATTTTGCTTCACATCCAATGCTACACCTGAATAATTCAAACCCAAAAGCCCCAATGATTGAAAGGCAAATCCAACTCACTAGGCACTAGGCACTAGGCAGACCAGGCAGCCATCGACTTAAATATTACAGATCGATGTATCCTAGAGGATATCTAAGCGCCTGAAACTACAAGATGACATGCCATATTCCCAACACCTTTTTCATAGCGCAAAAGTTCTACTACCAGTTGTCAACTTCTTCACAAGGTTACACAAAGGTAAATAACAAAGCATGTAATCATAAAGAAACAGACAAAATCTACAAAAGAAAAGCATGAAAAATCTGAGGAAAGCCAGACTATGATATAAGCGATATAAACTTGAAAAGACGGACTGTTGATGTAACGAATCACCAACTAGATATGTACTACATTTCTGATAGCTGTCAGAAATTTAAGATTCAAGATTTGAAGCACAGTCAAATATGAAAAAGAAGGCCAATCATACATCAAGTTCACTCTCTGGACAGCCAATGGTGTTTCCAAAACTTGGAAGTAGGAAAACGAAAGATAAACCTAAAAGTAACAAGACAATTATCTTTTTTGACACTAGATGACTTACCAACCCACCTGCCAGGAATAACGGTATAAGCACTTTTTTGACCATCAGATGTAGAAATCTTCCCCAATACGACCCTGTGATCCATTTACAAGCCAACACAAAATGAGGATGCAATCATAATTACTAGCTTTGGTTACTAGACGATTTCTCTAGCATAGATCACAAATTCAGACATCGACCAACTCCAAACCACTGGTTATAAGATCCGGGTTTACAAGATGAAGCCTTTGATGTCTTATTTCCATAACTTATGCCGATTGTGAACTTGCTAGAAGGTTTACACATAGAGACTACAAAAACACATTAAGGAAAAAGTACATAAACAAGTATAGACACTCGATATTTATTATAGACGACAAAAACAGATCGGGAGGATTTAAACTGAAAAACCTTATTTATTCAATCAAATCAAAATTAAATAACATGGACATGGGAGAAATGATATTTCATACAGGAAACAGAGATGCAACAAAATTTGCAGCAACGGTAGGACAGAGCATTAACATGGCGACATATCAATATTTCCATTCTATATGTTAACTAACGAAACACTAATGGAGAACAGAGCCAATCATTGCTAAGTCCTAGGGTGATTTCAAAGCTGTATAACACAGGATAGTTATGAAGTGTAGTAAAAGATCAAAATGGTGCAATTATGAATCTAACTACCAACTTGCCTCGACTTAGATACAAACACAATCAATGATCAAAACAAGAAACAAACACAGCATGCGTTTCCTATAGCTGAAAGGATTCCCCAGATCACCACAGAACAATTTTTCAGGAACTAACATGCTAGGGTGGGGCGTAAGGACTAAAAGAAACCATGATACGAAAGGAATCTTATGAAAATGAAGACAGATCAAACCTCATTTCTCCGACATTATGCAAAAGTTAAACATCTATTTATTTCCGCTATAACAAGTTTTAGAGTAAAATTTTCTAATGAACCGTATTTCAGTAGAGCTAGATACAGGCAAACATTTAAAATCTTTAAACAGAGGTAAATGGGAAAATAGATTCCCACAGAAGTGAATTACCTATGCTTTGCTTCGTCCCTCTTAGCAGACCCAACATATCTAACTTGATCTCCTGCAAAAATGTGGACAGATTAATAATTTGAGAAATGAAAGAGGAAATAGTCAGGCCAATGAGAGAAAGACAACACAAAGAAAAGTTACTAAAACACGCCAGGACAATTGAGCAAATGGATACACTAAGAACATCTAGAGCCTTGACAGTTATACAATACTATCCAAGCAGTTAAAGAAACATCCTTTTATGCAAATTAGCAACGTGAAGCTGAGAGTTAGCTACCTTTCTTAAGAGGCCGTTTGGCTTTATCAGAATGATCAACATCTGCAGCTTTTGACGCCTCAGAAGGGCCAAGTAAATGTTCAGACATTCTCTGCCACAATGTAGAGAAGTTAAGCACACGTACCCTTTCTAAATCATGTGCAATTAATCCGATAAATAAAAGCCCATACAAACAAAAATAGTATATGAAATTGGAAAACTTATATGTGAAGGTAACGGAAAATAAACATTGTCCATAGGGAGAGGCAAAAAATTTTATCATGGTAGATTTATGAATCTCACATAAACAGAGCATACCTTCTCGATGTCCTCTATGTCGGCCCCAAGTTTCTTGAGGACTTCCTTGGAAATCTCCAAATACCTTTCCTCATCGTCAGTTCCATCTATTTTCGCCTCGCTGCTACTTGCCTCGTCATTGTTTGCATCGGTTTCATTCTCAGCTTCGGACTCTGAAGTGCACTCATCTGATTCTGCAGTGTCATCATCTGATTCAGACTCTTCATTATAGTCATCAGCAAAATCCTGATCAGGAATCGACAAAGAACACACTAGCATCATGAAACAGAAATAAATATGGTAGGCGTGTCATAGCAAATGAACGTCAGAATCTCACGTAAGGAGCAAGAACGCTGCTGTCAAGAACCAACAGGGGAACTAGTGTATCTCGAGCAAGTGCTCGTACCAACCTCTCTCGGTACAGCTCAGTGCCTGTACAACCAAATCATTGTTCGACCTTATTTCCTCACCAATTACAGTATATAGTTTGATATGAAGAGAGAAAGACATCAAACACTGCACAAACCTGGAACACTCTGAAGCAATATTCTCCCACTTGAAGAATCTAACCGAGCACCGTAAGTGGACGCCGCTCTTCTTTGTTTTATATGTGAGCTAACACATTCCACCAGAGTATCTTTCGTGTGTTCGCTGACGAAAAATGAGTAAGAAACATCAGATATTAGCAGGAAAGTGGGGAAAAAATGAGCAAGAACCACGATAACAAAAGGAAACTCTGTCTTTGGTTATAACGTACGGGACGTAGTAAGGGAAAGACTCCCAAGAGAGCTGTATAGTTTCCCAAGGTTGAATCCTCCGCAAGAACTCGTTCTTAAATCTTACTCGTTTATTAAGAAAAGGTGACTCCTTTTTGCTCTCACTTGCAAGCTTCTCATTGTTGAGCCAATCGATCTGGTCCTGTTCTCCAAGTTGGGCGTGAGAATCGAAATGCTCAACACCTAAACCGCTCTTCTCTTTTCCCGTCTTTTCTTTGTTCAGAGGGAACCGGTTATCCTCACTAGCATTCCTTCCATCGCCTTCAGAACTAAACCGACGCAACTGGCTGTTCCAAGAGAGACTCCAACAGTTTCCAGAGGCAATAGCACCACAAGATGGATACTTTCTTGTACAATGATTCGTTAGTATATTTGCTAATCTATATGATGGCGAACCGGTGAAGTCACGAGTCGCTGTCCTAACTAAGCATTTGTCTTGCTTCAGTACAAAACCTAATCTCTGCCTCCTCCTTATGATCCTTGTATACATCGCAATTTACTTCCAAACTCTACTGCAAAAGAAAAAAAATGGATCTTTCATTTAATTCAATGCAGGGAGCCAAACACCAACATCAAATGCTAACCAGAATCTCTTAATTAATTGGCTTTACTTGTGAAAAAACAATCCAAAGCAATCTAGAACAACATAAAGAAGAGTTCTTTCTAAAAGTCACAATCTCATGTAATAAGAAAACCTAACTTGAGGAAAACTTGGTTAGGCACAAAAAGGTCTCCTTTGGTTCTCGTTACCTAGATTGAACTAACAGATATGGACAAAATCGATTCTGCTCATTCCATCTTAATCGATTGTAGTAATCAGACTTGGAGGAAGAGAAATGAACAAGGATTTTTATGGCGTAGAAGAATAGAGAGAGAAACTCGCGAGAGAGAGACACGATCTTCGTAGGTTCGGGAGCTGAGTTTCCGACTGTGGGCTTCGACTTGGTGACGTGGCGTTAATGTTTTCATTTTCATATGGGCTTCATAGTGTAGGCCCACTAAAACCCTAATTTATGCTAAGTTTTAATTAAAGCGTAGTTATTATTTTCAATTTTTCATGATGTTTCTCATCTTTGGCTCTTTGCCATAGACTTTTTTTTTTTTTTTTTTTTTGTTTCTGGTTCTTTTTCTCCCTTTGGATCTTTTGAGAAACGTTTGTGGTAACTTCGAAAAAGAACTACATTTATAAGTAGTTTATAATTGTAATCGAACTATTGGTACATTTTTCAGTCACTTCAATTAGACAAAGTTGCCTATGATGGACAACTTCAAATGTGATGTCAACAAAAAAAGACAACTTTAATAATGTTGAGTTATTTTTACTTATGCTCTTAATGAAAATAATCAAATGTTGAGTTAAGTATCTTTAGATGACTAATTAAAAAGTTTCATACTTTGGTTTCTGTACAAATCCAACTTCCAAAGCTTCAACATTTGGCATCGGCCCAATTTGAAAACTTTCATTTTTTTCAGTTCGTTATTCTTGAGAATTGATGCTAACAATGGCGGCGTCTCAGTCTCAGTTCTTGACGAACCTCTCTCACGTCTTCTCTTCCCAACGGTTCTTTATCGTTTTCCTCTGTACACCCTTATATGTTTTCTTCTCTTGTTTTCCTTTCGTTCTCCTCAATCCTTTTCCTTTTGCAGCAATCTCAGAGCGGATAATCGTGTTTCCTCTTCTTCTTGTGAAATTACGCGAACGAATCGGTCATGGGGTTCCTTAAAAGCTGAGAATTTTCAACCCAAAGGAAGAGGATCGCCGCCATGTTTGGGGAGCTTCGAGAGTGGCGGGTTGCTCAGGAATGGGATCGGTGATGGTGACGGGATTATCATCGTCGATCACGGTTCTCGCCGCCGGGAATCAAATCTAATGCTTGGTAAGTTGTGCTCCTATTTCTTAATCTTCTTTGTTGATTGTTTACTCTCTCTCTCTCTCTCACTCAGAAGCATAAGAGTTTGTTTGTGAGTTTCAGAGGAGTTTGTGAAAATGTTCAAAGACAAGACTGGATACCCAATCGTGGAGCCTGCTCATATGGTAATTTTTTTTTTCTTTTTTGGGCAAACTCTCGTATGATAATTATTTTCCCTATGCTGTGTAGAAAATGTGGATAGTTGAAGTAATAATTAGCTTTGGTTTTGTAATTAGACACACTAGTTTGCTCATCTCATGTTCCTTTAGAATGCTGCAGTAAGACCTGAGAATTTTCAACTAAAGTGGGAACCGCAAGTAAATTCCTTCATGTCCGATAGTTTACCTGATTGAATTCACTTGTATGAACCACTAGAGCTGCATATACTTATGAGTTTGATACAACATCTCTTCTTCTTCTTCTTCTTTAGTTTGTTGGTTATCTTTTTGATAGTTATGAGGTTTGATGCACTTGTATGAATCGAGAACATTCTTTCTCTATATTCTGATGATGATGTTCACTTTACGCCAGGAACTGGCTGAGCCATCTATAAAAAGTGCATTCAGTTTGTGCGTACGAAAAGGGGCGAAACGTGTAGTTGTTAGCCCATTTTTCCTGTTTCCTGGAAGACACTGGCATCAGGTTTGTATCCGATTTGTATGTTTCTCTAAGCTTTTAGTTTGTCTACTTACGCAAATGACATGGTGGGATCTTACTTGATTAAGAAAGGACATCCCTTCGCTGACGGCTGATGCTGCAAAGGAGTTCTCTGGCATCTCATACCTCATTACCGCACCTCTCGGCCTCCATAACCTCCTCGTCGTAAGAAATCAAACATGTTTTAAACATTCCAAAAAGCTGATGTTCTGATTTTTAATGTTTCACAAGAGACCTGTTCCTCTTTTGGCTATTGAACTTTCAGCAATCTGCTGATATTTCTTTATGCAGGACGTTGTGGACGACAGAATCCAACATTGCCTGAGCCATGTAGAAGGTGATGCAGACGAATGTCCGGTTTGTGCTGGAACAAACAAGTGCAAGCTCTACAATACTTCTTAGGTTTTTGTATATCTGCTGGTAACAAAAATAAAGAGGCGTATTATACTGTTCATACTCATCAGTTACTACATGTTCTTATTACACACCAACTTGAAAAGACTCGTGAATAATACACTTTATATCTGGATCATGAGTATGCTATGCTTCTGGATAATAAGCTCGAGGGGAAGGAGATTCGATGTGCACAAGGGGCTGTTGAAGTAGAGTTAATACTCTCTGAATTTTACTGGACATTCACTCTGGCTCTGGTGTAGCTACAATGTTGACGACTCGTACATAAAAATAAATCCACCAAAGTAAAAATAAAATACCGAACCCTCATCCTCAGCATGTTCCTCTTTGAATTTCTTCATTTGATCCTCATATTGGTCCCTTGTCAAGTTTTTATCATCCTGGAGAAGGAGCAGATTGGTTTATAACTTTATATCAAGATGCTCAATCATAATAAAATACAGTGAAGCTACAATTACTGTTTGTAAGTCACAAAAGCACATGGAGAAAATGCTTACCATAATCTCAGAGTCATTATGAGTTTCAACATCTATATCCCGCAGGTTCAATGTTTTATCATCCTTCAAAATTTGATCATTTCACGATTAAGAACCAGTTGCTCTTCATACCCATCCTCACATCTAACCTAAAGAAGAATCAAACCACAGTTGAGGAACAAGCTTATACAATATTCCGTAGCTCACAAAATTACCCAAACTCAAGAACTAAGTAGAGTAGACACAACTACTTACAATGTGACGTTTCAACAATGAAAACTTTTAGGATCCACATCACAATAACTCAACTTGCCAAGTCAAAAATCTCCCATCATACAAGGCGAGATATGAGGAAGTGATAGATAAACACTAACCTGACCCATCTCTTAGATGAAGCAGAAGCCAAAGAAAGCTTGTCCTGTTTCTTGACAGAGCTCATTTTCCTTCGGGATGACCCATTTTGCTTATTTCCACTAAGCGCATCGTTGAGTCTGCAATCCCTCAAGCCCGGACCACTAGAACTCGCTAAACTAATCGAATCCACACCCAACAAAAGCCATCATATCAGCAACCTATTACTCAGTGAGCACCTATGACAAACTCTGCTCACTGAAGGAAGCAACAAACGCATGCAATAAATTCTAATGCCTTGGCCATTTCCATGCATGTCAGAAGATCCCCGTGGGGTGCCTTTAACACCTGTAGAATTTCCAGAGAATGTAGTCGACTTAAGTAGCAATGTACATATATAAAAACCAATCTTAGCGTCACCAAATAACGCAAGGGAATACACGTACTGTTGCTCTTAGCTTATACTCAGAAGATGCAACTGTTGAAGAAGAAGTGACTCCAGAATCATCAGCAGATAATAGCTTCAAAACATCTTCACCAGAGAGAGGAAACAAGACCTATCATTATGTGAAAGGGAATTCAATTGCAATCAATATAACCTACAACGAGGAGCACTGTTAGTTCCTACTGAAGAGGCGCAGTTTAATCTATTTCAAACAAAATCAAGACAAGAGGTTACAAAAACATATTTGAGAGTGGAATGTTGTAAAAGTTATGAGTCGTTATAGCAATTGGTTGTGATTTGTAGCAAATTCGATATCTTTGGGTTCGTTCGTGAGGCTATTGCACAATGGAATCTTAGTAAAAGTATTGAGTCATCATTCATTATATGTCAAAAAAGTAAGAAGTGCAACAGAAACAACTTTCTTGATTAATACGGTATATAGACAGATATACAAAAAAAAAATGGCAGATTTTCATTACAAGAAGAGAAGACGATGTTGTTCGATCAGAGTCGTAAACCTTGAAGGAGATTCTCAACTTTGACTCGATCTTGCCTTGCGCTCGCTCTAGCAATCTGTGCTTTCATCGCAGAGATCTTTGCTTCAAGATTGGCGCCGATTTTCGCCATCCTTTGTAACACCATCTTCTTCAGGCGATGTGGCTGGCCTCTCACGAAGTCATCGTTCCCAAACTCGAGTTGCCCAGTTCCAGGGACTCTCTCAAAGCCGTGGTAGCGAAGCTCTGAGATGAAGTGAGAGTAGTTTTTGCCCAGTCCAGCGTATTTCGGAAGAATCTCTCTGCAAAGCGCTTTCACATCCCAGACGATGAAACTGTGGTTGGTTTCGCTCCAGGAGATGATCGGATCCAAGGAAGGATCATCGACAATGTTGTACACTTTGAGGTAGAAAGAAGGCACTCCCTTTGGAACAATCATTCTTAAACCCTAACAAATGCTTTCGATTCACAAAAGGTTTTTGTTTCTTTCTAAGCGAAGACGAAGAACTCTCTGATTTCTGATGCGGCAACAAGGTCAGGTGGAAGAGCGATCTATTTATAGTTGCCCTAGAAATAAAACAATTGACGGCCAAGATCTATAAATCAGATATCGACGGTCAAGATTGAACTTTCCTTTTTGTTTTTCTTTCTAGTACGTATTTCCTTTTTCTAGCGGTCAATATATTAGAGAACTACAAAGTCAACCGTTTTGTATTTTTTACGGGCTGAATTTATTATTAATGGGCTCTAGACTTTATTACTGTTTCTTAAACGCGGCGTTTTGATATTATTGATATAGATATTTATTTCAAATAAAAATATTATACTAAAATAAAACCTTAAATAAATGTTTCAAAAACTCTTTGATATTTATTGATATAGATATTTGTTTTTTCTTTCGAAAACACTTAATTAATAAGTTGTAACAAGAATCTTCTTGTGTATTTATCCCACAAGAGTTCAATTTCATTTTACCTGTTACATAACCTTTTGCTCTAACAATAACAATATCTCTCCATTGTATGGTATTTACCAACCGATACGTAAACTCAATCGATGCAATATGATTCATGCATGTATGATTTAAAGTTGTGACACACAAAGTTCAAAGAATTTGATTCAAGACTCAGTACGTTTGAGTAGAATCAAAAAGGCTAGTAAGGGAATCAAGTTGCAGAGAAACAAAGCTACGAAGAAAAGAAGAGATCAGTGATGAGTTGAGCTTGGCAAAAGAAGTGTAGCAGCTGGTTTTACAACTCAAGAAAAGACACCGAAGGTTTAAATGAAGATCAAAATGCCAAGTCGAGAGCCAAGAGTCAAAGGTTCTTAATGGGCAATTCTCAAGAAGATCTTAAGATGGGTTCAAGGTGGAGATCCCAGAAGAAACAATCAGGAAGAAGGACAAAGATAACATGATTTGCGGAGGTGTCGAGAGCTGTCTGAATCCGAAGGTGGAGATTGTGAGATATCAGACTTCAGTCAACTCACGACTTGGGTCAGCTATCAAGCCCAATGCAAAAAGGCTTTTAGGGTTCTGGTATAAATACAAGCTTATAGCGCAAGAAAGCCCTAATCCGAAGTTCAGACGTTAAGCAAGAGAGAGCTAGCTAGAACAAGAGAGGTAGTGTTTCATATGTTTCTAGGCTTTGCTTGTGGTATTGTTTCTTCCGTGTACTCTCTTAGATTCTAGGAGAAGAGAGAGAGTGAGTGATCTTGTAAACCATATCGGAGGTGTTTTCGATCCTTTATAATATGGATGTTGTGGATCCCACCCCAGATGTAGCGGTTACAACAGTGAACTGGGTGAACAATTCTTGTGTATTAAATATTCGTTCGGGCAGAATTTAAGTATAAATCCTCAACACAAAGACAAAGATGGCCTTCACTTCACTCTTGTGAGCGAGTGTTTGTGTATAGTAAGGGATTCACATGTCAGATAGTAGGAAAGTGTTTCATGGAGCAGGGTCCTTAAAAATACGTTTAAATTACAAATGATCTTGCTTACAATGCTCTGGCTTACAAAAAACTTGACCTCTTGACTTGTATACCAAAGTGTCTGTGCAACGAACTCTACATTTATTACACCTTGGCCGAGAGTTACCACTGTTGCGGGCAACTTCAACTTTTACACTACCATAGTTGATGAAATGGTTTGGCTTCATGTACATATCTTTACCCAACAAACATGTGACGTGAAGAGTGACTCTGCAGGAGTCGCATGTGTAGAACCACTTCGTTGCATCTAGTTTCCCTTCACAGATCTCACACCAGTATTGGACAACATATGTAGTCTCTTCTTCTCCGCAGCAAAGAGTGAGTGGGTGTTTATCATGCTTGTAGTGTGCCAGGGAAGGCACCGTAGCACATTCAACACACAAAAACGTATTACATTTAATGCATTCGATGTGCGTATTCGTGCTTTTGTATATATCCTTGCAACACATGCATTCACCTCGGGTCCAGTTGAAGAAGAAAGGGTGATCATGTGGATGGCAGTCATGGATTGAAGGATCAGGAAGCGAAGCGCATCTCACATCTACTCTGAAGAAACAATCTTTGTCGATACATTTGTACATGAAACCAGAACCCCATCGCCCACAACCAAAACAGCCGAATGAACCATTACTGGGATATTCAGCTTCGAGTTCCTGAGGAGGATTAGAAGAGAATGGATGGAAGAGGGTGAGCGGGTGTTTATGTATAGGATGGTGCTTTTTACGAGGCAGGGATGCACATGTTTCATGAAGAACAAACTCGCATTGGATACAGCTGTAAAAGCGATCTGAAACTGTCATCGGAAGGATGCAAGCTTGGCAAAACATGTTTTCATGGTTGCCCTTGTTTTCATCCCCTTGAATCTTCAGATGGTGATGATCATGACTGAAATGTTGAATAGTCTCTTCATCGATCCTCAGGAATGGCTCAATGACTTGTTCCTCTTCTTCGGGCACTCCTTCAAGATCTTTCCCATCCCACACTTCATCCTTTGTTGCACATCGTGCGTGAACAGCGTAGTGACATCCTTTGTTGCAAGAGTAATTCCCATAATTGATGTCTACGGGTTTGCGGCAAACTCCACAGGGCAGCTCATCACCAGAAGGAACAAGGGAGCAAGCGTGTGAGATACGATGCGGGTGACGGGTGATCTTAATGACACGAGGTAGATATATGCATCTTCTATGGACCATGTAGTTACAAAGCAGACAAGAGTACACAGGATTCACGATGGCACCATCAAGAGAGAAGCCACAAGCATCACAGGGCAAAGGGACTTGTCTAGGAAAGAGGGTAAGAGTGTGGTCATGGGTTTTCAGGTTTTCAATGGTGAGAGCTGGAGGATTCTTTGAGCAGGGAATATGTAAGCTGAAATTGCAGATAGAACAATGGTAGTATGGTTGTCGGCGGCTAAGCTTTTCCCGACAACATTTACATTTTTGGTGATTTTCATCTGAACCATAGTCTCCATCATCAGATGAATACTCTTCCGAATCTGAAGCACACTCATTAGGGAAACTAGAGATGTCAAAATAAGAGCTTGAGGAGGTGAAAATGGTGAGAGGTAGGATGAGGTGAAGAGGGTGGAGGAGGTGAAAAGGGTGTCTGATTTCGGGAGCATAAAAGTGACAGCCTCTGTGAAATTCCAAATCACAAGTAGCACAGTAGTAATAGTACCTTTTCTTCTTCCAGTGTGTTTGGCCTTTGCAGGTGAAGCAGATGGAGAGTTCAGGATCAATTCGCCGGCAAAGTGTGTGAGGGTTTGCTGGATCCAAGAGAGGACATGGGGGCTCTGAACGAGAAAAAGTTTCATCTAAATCCATGGATCTTTATTTTCTTTAGAATCAACTACAAAGAATCACAAAATCCTTTTTCTTAAAAGTTAAAGCACGTTTCGTAGGAGGTTTCTTTTGTTAACAAAATCATGATCAATGAAGCAAATAAATCACAATCTCTCTTGTTTTAATAAAAGGGGCTCCTTTATTAATCTTTAGTGTTAAAGACTTAAGCCACATGATTTTAGCCGTAATTAACGCGAAGTGTCATATCTACTTACAAGATACACATGAATCTGATACGAAGTTAGGTTTGGCACAGGTAACTATATATGCTCATGAACCATTCCACAACTCTCTATTATATATACTGTCATTAATCCCACTTATTATGTATGTCATTAATTCGCCTGATTATCTGTCACATCTTGTCGATTTGTCGTTTTTGTCTTCTTTTGTTTGAACTCATAATTCTTTTGTTTGAACTCGATTAAGCGATGCTTCACAATTCTTTTCTTTTTTTTTTTTTTTTGCTATGGCAATCTCATAATTCTTTTTTTTTCTTTTAGCTGAGACATAACATTCTCAAGAACCCATATAATGCATCATAGTATGTATTATGTAATTTCTGATCGGAGAGCTGGTAAGATTTCCCTTGTGCTCTTTTCTCCTTCTTAATCTTCTTTGTTGATTGTTTACTCTCTCTCTCTCTCACTTGCATAAGAGTTTGTTTCTGAGTTTCAGAGGAGTTTGTCTATTGAACTTTGAGTAATCTGCTGATATTTCTTTCTGCAGGACGTTGTGGACGAGAAAATCCAACATTGCCAGAGCCATGTTGAAGGTAATGCAGACGAATGTCCGGTTTGTGCTGGAACAAGCAAGTGCAAGCTCTACAATACTTGTTAGGTTTTCGTAACAAAAATAAAGAGGCATATTATATTGTTCATACTCATCAGTTACTACATGTTCTTATTACACACCAATTTGAAAAGACTCGTGAATAATAAAATTTATATCTTGATCATGATTATGCTATGCTTCTGTATTATATTGTTCATATTGGTGTAGCTACAATGTTGGCTCTTGTGCCTGGTTCGATCACTGAATTTGGATGCGATCAACTCTCGGGATGATTTGTTGCCCACGATGTATAAAAGGACATAGCATTGCCAAAAGTAAGAGAAAGCCAAAACTTTTCCCCTTCTTAGCCAAACGTATCTCAGATAATCTGTAAAAATCTACAAAAGTTTGTTCTATCGCTCTTAGTCTCCTTCTCACTCTCGCTCTCAATCTTTCGCGCTCTATTTTTGTCTGTCTTTCGCTCTTTCTCTCTCTCTCTTTCCCGAAAAAACCTAGTTTTGTAGTTGAGATTTAATTTTATTGTATGGTGAGCACAGATTTAAAATTAATTATAAGGCTTTATGAATATATGTTCACCAATTTTACGTCAATTTGCTCGGTTTTCAGTTATAGGTAAATTAAAAAATAAAGTTTTTAGTCGCCAAAAAATCTTGGGTTTTTTTCAATATATTTCAATTGGCTACCAGTTTAGTGTGTAGAATCCTTTTGAAGTGATTGATTAAGCAAACTAAGTTTGGTTTTAAATAGAATATAATTCCTTTATATTATTCTGTTTGCTCTAATATTGCTTTTATAAAACTTTTGCAGATGATGGAAGATGAAATGCATACGACACTGAAATTGCCTCCAAGAATATATAAGTCTGGGACTGAACTAGACAAAGTGGGTGTAATCATGCAACACTCGAGTTTCAACTTGGTGCAAAGAGTCGAAAAGGTGTTAGGAAAAACACTGTTCGCCAAAATCGAAAACTCTTATCTCAGCTCGATTGTCAAGCTCTCAAGGAGAGAGGACATTCAGTTTTCTGGAAAGATCTTCCACTTCCTTATGCAAAGAAGAATTTTGACAGAGGGAGAAGACTTGTGGTTTGCATTTGCAGACCAGCCGATGAGATTTTCTCTAAGAGAGTTTTATCTAATCACATGATTGCGTTGTTGGGAGCCAGAACCAGAAGAACTCGAACCCAAACAAAACCCAACACACAGGTTTGTGAGAAAGGCTTACCTTTGGATGTTGGGGAAAAAGGATAAGTACACTGTGAAAGTTTTGATGCAGCTGCTGGAAAACAATGCGAACAGAATGTCTGGTGAGGAGAAACTTTCTCTTGGACCTGCTATATTGACTCATGGGATCATAATCGCCAAGAATCCAACAATAAAGGTGCCGCAAGAGAGTTTGCAAATGTTTTCGAATTTAGATAATTACTCTGTGAGACCTTGGGGGAAGATGGGATACGAGGTCCTATCTGCTAGTATACGGAGGATGAAAGCAAAAGCATTTGCAAAACCTATGTATGAAGTGCAAGGATTCGTATGGGCAATCACGTTGTGGGCTTTGTCGGCTGTGCCAGCGCTAGGTACTACATTTGTGAGTCGGTATGATTCAAGCTCGTCTGCAGGCCCGTTGTGTTTACAGTGGAAAGCCACTCAGACTCCTAATATTTCAGAAGTTTTGGATGTGCACAATCAACGGGATGTAAGTTTCGTGTTGTGGAATTTTATATATTGCTTACTTTGGTTTAATTAAACTCTTATAAATGTATTTGCTATGCGATTGCAGGTTATAGTCAATACTGTTGTTGGGGATCCAGAGGAATATAAGAATCTGGTTCCACCGACAAATCCCATTGACAAAGACTTTGCAACGGTGGTGCAACTTGTAATGGAAGGTTATAGGTTAAGCAGATCTGAGTGGATAGAGGGAAAAGTAGATGGTGTTTTAGTATCTGAACAAATACGGACACAACATAACAGACGAGCGGAGCCTAGTAGAACAACACGTGAGGCTCCTCTCGTGACTGACACTGGCAAAATTGACAAGATTATGGAGATGCTTAAAGCCTTCATTGGCAAAGTGGAGACCATAGAGGCTTTTGTGGGGATTAAGGCAGTAGAGGTAAAAAAAGCATCTATTAAACCCGTTTTATAATGTTCAGTTAGTTTTCGGGGCTTTGACAATATGTTTTATGATTTATAGAAAAAGATCCTGTAAATGATGAGGATAACAATGATCCAAAAGATCCTGAAGATGGTGAGGATAACAATGATGGGAAAGTTCCTGAAGATGGTCAGGATAACAATGCTGCAAAAGATCCTGGAGATGATGTTAATGATATTAGCGATAGAGAAGGTAATGTTGAAGATCATGGTGAGAATAAGGATGATACATATGGTAATGATGGAGATCGTACTAGCAATGTTGATGCAACTATTGATATTAGCGATAATGATGAAGATCATGGTGACGACGGTGAGGCTACCAATATTGTTGTTGGTAATAATAATTTATGTCATGTGAATATGTTATTTTATAAAACCAACTTTAAAAACACGCAAATTTGTTCTTGTTTTGTTGTACAGAAAATCCCAAAGATGATGAAGGTGATGAAAGTCACGATTCCAACTGCCATGGATTTGCTTTGCGACCACCACTGACAGATGAAGATGTTACCGTTCAGTTGGAACAAGGTGGAGCTCATCCAATATTTCACCCATTCCAGCCATATATTCTATCAAGGAAAGCAAGATTGGATGAATGGAAAAATGCAACTAACCAGAAGTAAGTAAAGTTTTCATCTATGTTTAGCTTAGTAATATGGAGAGATTTACAAATATCTTTTGAAATGTAGGATCTTGAAAGATTTTATTGGACATGAAGTAAATGATGATTGGTTTTTAAACCTCCAGACACCAGGGACTATAATGACCAGACAGGTAAAACTATAATTTGAAATCTCATTTAAACTAGAAGTAAATGGTGATTGATTTTTAAACTTCAATTTTTACACATCTGCCAAACTTTGGGTGTGTCATAATTCTTTCTGCTTGTGATATAAACTTATTGCAATCTCATTGACTATGTTATCTTTGATAGTACGTATTTATAGTTTAAAAGTAAAAAGTTATATCTTTTGCTTTATTGCAGCATATGGAGTCTGCTATGCATTTGCTTCGAAAAAGGAGAAAAAATAGTCCCAAAATTTTTGCAAACAGTAGAGTTGCCATCTATGGAGAACATTTCCTTTTGACACTCAAACAGTGCTGGGAAAGATGGCGGTGGACTCAGAAGTGGTACAACTACGATAACAAGAGCGTTGAAGGCTACATCAATGGTACATTGTCGGATATTGGCAATACAGGGAAGAAGATGATCAAAGACATAGACTATGTCTATGCGCCAAATGTTGGCATGACAAACAGTGGGTTGCCGTGATATTTGACTTGAAGAAAGGGTCGGTAAGCATATGGGACACCGATAGATAACTGGACAGATTATCAGATTATGAGACTTCAGTAATCCATATGCACAAAAATGCATGTGCTTTTGAAAAGGTTTGTAAAGGGTGCGAGATATTCCAAAGAATTCACTATTAAAAAGCAACCAAGAATACTCAAGGTATGTTACTCAAAAAATGACTATGTTTTCTATAAGTTATTAGCTGACTAATCACAAATATTTTACTATAGGTAAGCAATTTCCAGGACACAGGTTTATATACTTTCAAGTTCATAGAGTGCCATGCGAGTATAATGACCGACATGTCTCTGCCTTGCAAATATTGAATATCTGAGAATTAAGCTGGTGGTTGACTTATTTTGTGAGGTATTTGATGGACCTTCTTCGGATAACCAACTCAATGATGCAGCTGCAGATGAGTTACCACTTGAGTCGCCTAGTGAGAGCAAAAAGTCAAAGAGAAAACTGAAAGGGGATGATTGTAGAAGCTCTATGAGAAACAAAAAGGCTAGAGTATGAAACTGTTTCTCCTCGTTTGTTTTAAAATTTCTTCAGCTCAAAAACTTGTAAGCTTCTTCTTTGGTTTTTTCCTCTCTTTTTTTGGCCATGTAATGACTTTTGAAACAGACTCTTCACTTTATGTATCTTTAAAATTTGCTTTATTAAATATTTATAAATTAGCTTTTGAATCTTTGTAAAGATTTATAAAGATTTAAAAGATGTTTTAAAATGTTTATAAAAAAATGTTTGGGGATTAAAATACGCTTGAGACAACCCCGAAGGCTGTGGATTGAATCACATATAACGAAATAGAATTAACTGTTTTGTTCGAACCAGTGCACTGATGGTAAACTAGAGGGCGTGTGTAATCCCCATGGCTGTGGTGTTTTAATCTTCATAGCCTCTAGTGTAATTGCTTATAAAGAGAATACACTTTGGAAATTTTTTATATTGCTCTGGTTATGATGCAAGCCCAAACACGGGCCTAGAAAATCTAAGCCGGTCTTGTGGATTAAAAATGATAATTTATAAAAGATTTAAAAGAAGTTTTAAAAGGTAATTCTTCATGTTGAAAGCTCGATTGTGTTTTATCGAACATGATGGATTATATGAACGATGTTAAAGGATTTATAAATAATCTTTTAAATCCTTATATATTTGGGGGTGTAATTTATAAAAGATTTAAAAGAAGTTTTAAAATATTTATTAAAACTGTTTTGGGTGCTCAAACCAGAGAACTGAAGGTACACTAGAGGGCGGTTGTAACCCCCAAGGTTGTGGTGTTTTAGTTGTCATATCAGTGATTGTAATTGTTTATAAAGAATGTATGTTTGTAAAAATATAAAAAAAATCCTCACTGATTCCTCATCGAGAGAACTGACACTGTATCGATAAGAGGTAATCGTTTTATTTATTTATTTATTTGCATTGAAACAATCAATTTCTTCTCTTATCATCTAGGGAAGAGATACAACTTTCTCTGGTGTTTGGTGGTGTTTTCACTGCTTCGTCCCTTAACGCACCGCTTCGTCCCTTGTTTATGTATATTCTGATTTCCCATTATTTCACCACCACTGTTTCCACAGATAACAATGGCGACTTCGACCGCTTTTAAAGATCTCCAGATGGCTGCTAGGCAAATTAAAAACTGTCCTTCTGACTTTTTTTCAACAGGTTTGGTTAAAAAATGTTTAATATAGATATATAAGTTATATTTGATGCTTTGGGTTTGGATTCGTGTTTTGATTTCTTTAGATAGATGCGATTTTGAAGTTTCCTTTGTGTATTTTTAGTTGTTGGGTTCACTTACATTGGTTTGTACCCGTTCGAATCTAGTGGGTTAGTGATGACTCTCTGTGTCTTTTCTCTCTGTCTCTGTATAAAAATAATTTTATGGCATGTTCTCTCGTTGTAGATTTGAAAAAATCCCAAATTTTTATGATTGAGGCAGAAAAGACGTGAAGATTATGTTGTTGTAGATCATTAATCTTTTGATGAAAACTTTTATTCAAATCTTGTTGTTGTAGATAATTAATCCTTTAGAGATGTTTTGTTTAGGTCTGATGGATGACAGCCTCTTCGAGTGGGAAGCTGCAATTAAGAGACCAAAATATAGCCCTTATGGTGCATGAACATTCCGTTTTAGCATGCATTTTCCCCACAGTTTCCAATGATAACTCCAACTGTAATTTTTTCATACTAACTCTTGCTCTTATGCAACAATTGCTAATGTCTTTGTCTAAATCTTACGGGTTCCTCAATTTTTTAGGTCAAATTCAAAACCAAGGTGTTCCACCCTAATGTTTCTGACAAAGGAGATGTGTATCTCTACATATTGGGCAATGGATGGGCTCCTGGTTTCACAATTCCTGATGTTTGTGTTTCATCTTCTATTCGTTATAATTTAACTTTAATACCGGCAGTGAAGTATATTTATTAAAGAAACTTTCTTATTTTCTGGAAATATATCCTAATGACGCTTTGGAGAATGCTCCTTACCCCAAGATTGGAGCTTCCTGATAAGGTGAATGAGAATACTCTGTAGTATGTCTCTAACAGGGAGAAGTTCAATAGAAAAGCTGCTGAATGGACGCTATTATATGCTAGGAATTAAGGAGTTTGTTTGTTTTATGACCACAATGTTATCTATGTTGTAATAAACTTTCAAATATCATAGTGATGTTTGAAAAATTTCTAAACTGCATCGTACTTTACTTTTTTTTTAATTATGAATAAATCAATTCCGTTGGTGCACTATTAATGCGGATGATGCTTCTAAATTGTTACTTGTAATGCTGATTTAAGAACGTATTTAAAACCATTTAAAAAGGCTTATAAAACCATCCACAAAAAAATTTATATCCCTAGTTGCTCGAACCAGAAAATGAGTGTAGTCGATGAGGCTGAGTAATCAGTCGGTTCTGCTTTAAAAATATTTTATAAAGATTTAAAAGAAGTTTAAAAAGATTTATAAAAAAAGATATAATAAAATATAGAGAATATCTACTGTTTGAAATATAGGCCCAAACACAGGCCCAAGAAAAATCCAAAAAATTGCTTTTATAAAGATTTATAAAAATTTTGTAGAGATTTAAAAGATGTTTTAAAATGTTTATAAAAAGATTTTTAAACAGTCGAGACCCACAGTTGCTTGAACCAGGGTGCTGATGGTAAGGAAGAGGGTGTGTGTAACCCCCAAGGCTGTAGTGTTTTAATTGTCAATGACTCGAGCGTAAAAGGTAATATAGAGAATATCTACTGTTTGAAATGTAGGCCCAAACATGGGCCCAAGAAAAATCCAAAAAATTGCTTTTATAAAGATTTATAAAGTTTTTTGTTGAGATTTAAAAGATGTTTTTAAAATGATTATAAAAAGATTTTCAAATAGTCGAGACCCACTGTTGCTCGAACCAGGGTGCTGATGGTAAGGAAAAGGGCGTGTGTAACCCCCAAGGCTGTGGTGTTTTAATTATCAATGACTCTAGCGTAAAAGGTAATATAGAGAATATCTACTATTTGAAATGTAGGCCCAAACACGGACCCAAGAAAATCCAAAAAATTGCTTTTATAAATATTTATAAAGTTTTTTTGTTGAGATTAAAAGATGTTTTAAAATGTTTATAAAAAAAATTTCAAACAGTCGAGACCCACGGTTGCTAGAACCAGGGTGCTGATGGTAAGGAAGAGGGCGTGTGTAACCCCCAAGACTGTGGTGTTTTAATTGTCAATGACTCGAGTGTAAAAGGTGATATAGAGAATATCTACTGTTTGAAATGTAGGCCCAAGAAAAATCCAAAAAATGCTTTTATAAAAATTTATAAAGTTTTTGTTGAGATTTAAAAGATGTTTTAAAATGATTATAAAAAGATTTTCAAACAGTCGAGACTCACGGTTACTCAAACCAGGGTGCTGATGGTAAGGAAGAGGGCATATGTAACCTACAAAGCTGTAGTGTTTTACTTGTTATTGCTACGAATACAGTTGTATATATTAGGTATTAAAATCTACGTTTAAAATAATTTAAAAAGGGTTATAAGAAGCTACTTAATCTTTTTAAATCTTAAAAATAGGGTTTGAAATAGGGATCCCTTGTACTTATAACCAACTTTCAATGTAAAACACCGCAAGTCCTTTCATTCAAAACCTCACCAACACAAAATAACAATAATGTATAAAATGATAATGTAATAATATTATA